CCATAACTTTAATCAAAAAGATTTTTATACACAAATGTTATTACAGTGATTCACTTGATAGATCAGAAAATAATACATTTTCAATTATTAAATTAATCGAGTTTTTTTAATTAGTATAGATTGGCAATCTTGTTCACCGGACGAAACTATCTTTCTATTCTTTTCTTCAAAAGGAACTAATTATTTTTTTTTAATTATTTCATTTTAATTAGATTACTAGAATAAAAACATAAGTTGTGTTCCAAAACGAACGATAAGCAAAAGGCCAGACCATCTTCCCTTTATCTTTTAACGTAAAGTTTACTGGATTCATGTTGCCATATTTTATATTGATAATATGGCAATAACAGCAAAAATTTTTAAATAAAAAATGGCTAACGCAAGTCTTTTATTTTATATCGAAGAACTGAATTATAAATTTATTTCACGAAATTAACTACAAATTCGCATTTTGTTTATTATTTTTAAACTGAAATAAAGATGCCATTGTGAAAAAATGCAGTGACTACCAGCTACTTTTAAAAAAAGCTTGCCATATCTCTGTAAAAATGCATATATTTTAAAGGAAAGTTGTAATAATGAGAACCCGATAATGTGAAATTTCTACTTCATTTTTCCTAAAGTAAGGGATAACAAAAGTGGACTATAAAGGGAAAATATAAGAACGGGCCTATGTAGTTTAAGGTGCAAATTGCATCGTTTAATTACATCGTTCTTTACGACTCTCGTGCACGTGTAAGTAGGAACATGGCATGTGAAGTACTGTCAAATAATTGCCCACCACAAACCATCACCTGTTGAAATGTGGCCTTAATCGACTGTATCTAAAACCCGTACTTAAAAAATTAGTACGTGTTACCTACATGATTTGTTTATTAATTTCAATTATGACTACATGAAGTAATACAAATCTACGCTACATATGAATGACCAACAATCGTACATTGGTACTTAAAATTGTCTGTTTTGTTTTTGTTTTTTTGTTTGTTCGTTGACTTATTACAAATATGAACACAATTATTTAAGGAATCCATTAACATGGTATGCAGCTTTTATTATTGTTATTATTTTAAGTGCTATGCTTTACTACGAACTATATAATTCAATAATTGTGTATGGTAAAAAATCATTTGTTAAACAATTTATGATTATAATTAATAGCAGTTTTTGTTACGAAAACTATATTTCTATTGCAAAGCGTGTATAATTTTTTAATTAGTTGGACGAAGCATGTGTTTTTTTTTTTTTGGAAATCATTCTATTTTCTTCGAAAATGTTCATGAAAACACACACACATTTTGAACATCTTGTGGTATTTTTTTTTTTTTTTTTTTGAGTTACTCAGGTAGATGACACAGTCTGTTGGAAATGATTTCTTTCCAAATAACTGGAAATATTTTTGTGCGAACAAAATATGGTAAACACATTATTTTTCCTTAAAATATGAAGACACAATTTGGTCCTTTTCTTTACATAACTTACTACCTGCCCTTTTAAAATAAGAATGGAACACACACACAATATAAGTCATATTGGTTATTGCAGCACTTAACGTCTTAAAGAGAAATGGAAATAATGAATTCATAACTTGGGTGACCTTGACAATTCATTTCTATCCTTGGTAAAGCTGCATTTAGACGATCAGAGTTTTACATGCGTGATGCCATTTTTATTATCCATGTGTATTTCCGTGTGTATGTCAAAATTAGCCATTTGACATTTGAGATGACTTATAATTGCATATGTTTTTTATTTCCTTTGGTTACATTCAAGGTATATCCAAGAAGACAAAGTCATGCAATCGTATGTTTACATTTTTTTCTTCAAATTTTTACCTTCGACAACGTCTCGTTGTCAAAATCTGTATTTAAATTTCAATGCATAAAAAACAATTGCCATCTCTGATTGTGTGTATACAATGGAGTTTTGAATATAAATGTAGACAATGAAATGTTGTCAAATTTATAGATTTGAACAAAAAAAAATTTAAACATATGATTACATGAATTTACCTTCTTAGTTCTGTGGGAACTGTACCTTCTTAAAATCAGAGATGGGAACTGTTTTTATGCCGTAAAATTTGACAAGGTAAATTATATGCTTATTTGAAATGAGGTTACCTTTATTTCATTGTACCACGGCTACAATGTGATTATATTGTATTTTATTAAAAAATTAAAATATTTTATGGATGACTTTAACCACAAGTACAATTTAATATATATTCACAAAACAAACAACATTTTTTTTAAATTATAGTTTTCCGATCAAAATAGAGATCGCTGTGATCGAAAAAGTGCATATGTACTTTACTCATGTACTTCATAACTGTATCATGTATCACATGATGTGTGCAACTTCTAAAAATGGAAAATTTATTACTACATTTCTTGAAAAAATTTAGTCTGATAGAACCTTAGGCGTGGTATTCTTTTATTGGTTTGCAATAATTAAAATATGAAATCAATTTGCCAATTTAAATCCACTTGATTTTTAAATTCATTACAACGTAAACCTACTATATTGGAACGATTTTTTATGTAGTGTCAAAATTTTTTACATTTAGATATTGCACACATCGAACGACGTTTCAGTTGTAAAATACATGAATAAAGTACAGATGTACTTTTTCGATCACAGCGAGCCCTATTTTTATTGGAAAAATATAATCTAATTAAAATAGTTTGTTTGTTGTGTAAAATATATAAAATTAAAATTTGCATTAAAAATCATCCACAAAATAGTATATTTCTTTTTAGAAAATACAATATAATCACAACGGAACCAAAGGAAATAAAAAACATATGCAAGATTTATGAGCCATGTAATGTAAATACACATGGATAATAAAAGTGACATCACATATATAAAACCCTTATCGTTGATGGCAGCTTTAATTGAGATGTACAAATTTCACTATGGAAGGACATTGCAGCTATATTTTAAAAGTTGTGAGGGCAATGATATATGGAGGCGCAATTGAACTGGATGCGTTATACATATTTGCTGTTACTGTCGAAAAACACTGAAAATAAATTACATTGTTATTATTTATAAATATATAAAAAAAATAACATTTTATGGAAGAATTTTACTCGTTAATATATTTTATCTTTTTATATTTTCACACAACAAACTAGGAAGTCTTGATTAAATTATGATTTTTCCATAAAAATATGACAAGATGTGATCGAAAATGTATTCTACTCATGTTTCCAAACATGTGTGATTTCTACATATGGAAAATTTTACATTACATATGTAGAAAACAATCCGTCTAATATAGTATTATGATATGTTTACGTTAGAGCTTTTTCCTGGTTAACCTTCTTTACGAAGATTTATTTTAGGTATATTCAGTGGAAATGGCAATTTAAACCGACTGGGTTTTCTTTACAACGTATCCGTACTATTTAGGTGTAAATACATAAAAAGCCTTTTTTACTGTCTTAAATAATCGGCTGACATCATTCGTAAAAGATAAAAGGAGCGTAAGGTAAACAGGAATCAATGATGGACCGAAATTGAACTGAGTCAACCTAAAACTCCTTTATTCTTTTACGAAGAAGCCAGTAAAAAGACCTCTTCGTATTATCACCATTAAACAGCTTGGCATCATGACATTACATATTTTTTGACATATATAAAGAGATGCCAGAGATGCAATTCAATCCTGTTACCGGTTTCTTAAAATTTGACATTAATATGCCATGCCATGACGCCATGCTGCTAATGTATCATCACTTTTATTATACCTTTTCAAGCTTTCTTGTATGGGTAGTGTCATTAGCAAAATTTAAACAAAAAATGCATTTTTAACATTAAATATCAGAAAACATCTAAAATGTCAAGAAAATGTAAATAACGGCTTCTTCTCAAAGAGGTTTTCTTGAAGAGTTTTTTTTTACAAAATACGACTCATATAAAATTGTTTTATTCGTGCTTTATAAGAAAAGTATTTTGTTTTCTTGAGCTTAGAAGAATTGTTGTAATTTTGACATATCTTGTTCAGAGACAGCTGACCCAAAAGTCACCACTTTTTACACTTTTGCAACATTTTATAAACAAATAGCATGTGAGACTTAAACTATGTTCACATGAAGCAATGTTCTAATAAATCGGGTTTCTAGTAAAAAAAACACGAAATATGTTGTGTTTCCGTATGTAAAAATGTTTTTTTTTTTTTGTCTGTAAACAAATATATTGTTGTCTTAAAGACAGCAACGACTTGCAAAGATTAATTTCTAAAACGTGAGTTTAATGATAACAGTTCAACGACTGGCTGACCCATTCCCGTAGACTAAGATTGCAAGGAAACAAGATTTTTCCAAAAAAAGAAAATCAGATTGAGAACATTATCTGCTTAACAAGTGCAATGGGCGGAAATTAAATCGAAATATGTTCAAATTATCTTTATATCTTGGTGAACATAAGATTGCTTTTAATACATTTCAAACTAAGTTTAATTTTATGAGAAGTTGTTGCATGGTAGAATTAAAAAGGTAAAATTATTTATTTGACTACATCTCATTGTAAGAATGTATCTTTCTATATACAAACACAAATCAGAGATGGAAACCGGTTTTCTATACCGTGAAATAATAAGACTCCAGTACAGAGTTGCATTTTACTAGTTTCCTTGAAGTTGGGCAAAATTTTTTATTGAGTCATGGTAGAAAATGTAGTTTTGGTAAACATTTTCTACAAAAAAAAAAAAATATATATATATCCAATACAAATACCACTAGAAAATAATTGATGGAAATTGTGCACTTCTTATGATTTGGTCTATAAATATAATTTTTATTTAATTTATTTACTCACACCTATATTTCTTTATGGGAAATCAAAAAACAAAAATCAGTAATATTTTTGCGAAACTAACCCAGTCACCTTGTTATACATATTTTTGGGACTTATTAGTAGTGTGACTTTCCAATCAAAACAAATTTTAACAATTTTGTGTCAAATTTAACTGTTTCTTCATCTCTAATTCGAAGAAAGTCCCATGACAGGCGATTAAAAAAGAAATAGTGAACAGAAAATTCCAAAGAAATCAAAACAATGTTCAAAAACTCTTTTAAACTATGACTGTGAAAATAATATTTAAGTAAAGAAAATAATAATAACCAATCCAATCAAATTCAATTAATTGTAAATCTCACGTAATAATACTGCTGCTGCAGAGGAAATACCGCAAGGTATTTAACCGCTACATAAATATTACGGATCCCTCCTTCACGCACAACGCAACGTAACATCAAGTGATTATTTTGTACACATCATTTATTAATTATGGAGGCGGCGACTAAATCATCAAACGGTATAAAAAATGGGTAAATATCCGATTGACATATAAATACAGATACAAAATGTAGGTATGGTGCGGTGAACAGTGGAACCTGGCTACATTAGACATTCATTGTTGGTACAACAGCGCACAGTATTTTGAAAGCATACATTTTCCGATAATTAGGTTCATGAAAAAAATTAACAACAAAAATTTAATTAAATGAAGGTACACACTAGCGATCACGAATGACAGTCGATAAATTATATTTCGTTTGCATTAAAGCCCAAATGCAAAATTATTATTTTAGGCAGATATTATAATTCATATTGACGAGAACCATGATAGTTGGCAACACCGAACATACGTTTTCATGCAAGTATGAATGTCTCTATTCGTTTTAATTTCGATACAAACAATTATGAGATAGATGTGATAGGATGAGATGAAAAAACTGCAACCAACTTCAGACTGCTATCATTTCTGAGCCACTCGTCCGACAGCAGTTAAAATTATTCCAGTGACAGCTCATTATATTGTTTACAAGCGTACATAAGCATTTTGGTGAGAATTTTCCACAAAAAAAGTTATCCGTGATGGAATTCAAGCGTGATAGTGTGATTTCTTTATATTTGGCTGGGAAACCACAAGTGGCTATCGTTAGAGCACTCCAGCATTTAAATGTGAATAAATCTTTTGTGTCCCGTACCATCGCTCGTTACCGTGATACTGGTAGCTGGAAGCGTAGCCCAACGTGAAGGAAGTGGACGGAAGAAAATAGCAGCATCAGCAGAAATTGTTTGAAAAGTGAAGAAGCGACTTCATCGAAACCCGCGTCGCAGTGGCCGAAAAATGGCTCGTAAGCTGAACATATGGCAATATTCCATTCGGCAAATATTGAAAAATGAGCTCGGGGGAAAGCCATTGATATTCCAAAAAGTGCAAGAACTTACACCGCAACAGAAAGAAAATAGACTCAAAAGAGCTAAAGAGTCGCTTCGCTTGGCCGAAAGTGAAGAAGGTGGATAAAACTTTCCTCAGATGTGCTTTGGTCTGCACGGTTTAGTATATTTCTCACAAAACAGTATCGGCAAATTTAAGGTCTTTTGGTTATTTAAGTCACATAGAACTGTCCATATAGGTTCAAGTTTTGGTATGGTCCTCATATAACTGTACCTCCATATACTCGGATTTTTGATCATTTTTGTGACACTTTTTCCCGGAACTTTGTAAATTTCGAGTTCTACTCTTCCAATGACAGAAAATTGCCTATTATTTTCTTCGTATATTCCCCATATAATCGTACATTCCCACATTCAGTATTTTTTCCAATATTCGGCACATTTTTCAACGAAATTATCTCAAAATTGATTTGAAGCATGCCTTCACTGTTAGGTAATTGAATACAGACCAACTCTTTTTTTAGACCCCATCTAATTGTACCATCCCATTTCGGTCTTTTGGTAATTTCAGGAGCAATGTTTCAAACGTTTTTTTTTTACATTTTGTAAAGCTCCGACCCGTTTAAGGTTATATGCAGAATTATGATTTTAAATTTTACATATTAGATATTAATCTAATGCCTACAAATAAAAGTATGTTCAATACTTAATAACATCGTTGACAACAAGTATGATGGTTGGCAACACTTGCCCTATGTTCAACGTGATAGTGAAAAATTATAAATTCACTATGGAAATGCTAAACATGGTACCTTGCGATATTTGCCACATTTTCAACGGAGTTATCTCTAAATTGATTCGAAATTTGACTTCTCTGGAAGATAATTAAAATTACAGACCCACGTTTTTTAGTCCCCATCTAACTATACCATCCCATTTCGGTCTTTTGATAATTTAGAAGACATTGTTTTCAACTATTTTTTTTTCATTTTACAAGTTCCATTCAAATGGTAAAGTGTATAAAAGTTCCGATCCGGTTCAGGCTAGTTGCAGAATTATAATTTGTAATTTTACGTATTAGAATTTAATAGTTTCAACTACCCACAAATAATCCCAAAGGTATGTTCAATGCTTAACATCGTTGATCACCAGACTGGTAGTTGGCAACACTTGTACAATGTTAAAATTTATAGTGAACAATTATAAATTCACTCTGGAAGAGCTAAATAAAACTTTTTCAAAAGAATCACCTTCAAAGAACGGTTATCATGTTTGCCAGTGTGTACCATACTTAATATCGTTGACTTCCATTTAGGTGGTTGGCAACACTTAAACTATATATTTTCGTGCCACATTTCTACAATGGGCAAATTGACCGTTATAACAATGTTCAACTGTAATGATATTGTTTGTTTTTATTTTCAATAGTTTTATGTGTGTGTGTCTGTGTGTGTGTCTTTGTGCGCGCATTGATCTTTATGTTATGCTGTTTACCCAATACCAACAATTAAACAATTTGTTGTGTAAGGCAGCAATTATTTTGACAAATTCCTCATAATCATCATTGACATCATTATCGCCATCCTCATCATCATCATTGCCACCACAGTCAATTACTCTAGGGTTTTTAAATATACGACCGTTGTGATGTGAAACTATTTTTCAATTTTGTAACTTTTTTTTCTCGATTTTTAACCTCTCTCTACTTCTCTTTCTGTTTTGTTTTTTTACAGTACAATTAATGACCGACCATTGTTTATGCAAAATGGAAATCGCCGCTTTTCGATCAGTGCCGGTGATCCACAGGAAATTAGTAATTTTCGTCAAGCATTGCCGCAGTTTTTAGCCGTTAGTGTTAAAAATATTTTACTTTTTGGTAAATAACTAATTAAAACATTATTACTCCTCTTAGCAGCAACAACAAAATTACTCTTCTCTTTTTTTATGAAATGATTACTTTTTTATCAGTGTTTTTGTGTTGCATAAAACCACAAATAATTACAATGTTTTTCTGCTACTTTAATTATGTGTTTTTTTTTCGTTTTTTTTTTTTCACAGTGTATGGAATGACCTTGGGATTTCCAACCATTGTTATACCTGCCATCCAAGGTGGTGATGGCCGAGAACCCAGCGATATTGTTTTGAATAAGGAACAAATTTCATGGTTTAGTGAGTATGGCTTAAAAAACAAAACTGAGTGCAGTGGGGAACAAAAGTTTTGGCAGATAAATTTAAAAATTGAACTTGAAATTATGGAATTATTAATAAATCTGCTATCAGACGATAATAGTTTTACATATGTGCTGTCACTTTTATTATCCATGCGTATTTCCGTCTGTATGTCAAAATCGTCATTTAACATATGACTCACAATTCGTTGTTTCACACACTTGCATATGTTTTTTTATTTTCTTGGTTTACATTCGAATTATATTATATTTTCTACAAAATTATTATACTTTATGGATGACATTTTACCACAAATTTAATTTTATATATTTTCACACAACAAACAAATAACACTTTTGATTAAATTATATTTTTCTGATAAAATAGGGCTCACTGTGATCGAAAAAGTATATATGTTCCGTGGTAGAAGAATTGAGGTAGTCGCATCGACACAGCTGATGGGACAATGAACTGTCAAACCATTTTTAGAAATGACATTTTTGAATGAAAAATTATTCAAATTAGAAAACATTTTTAAAAATACATTTCATAACAGCTTCCGATTTGCGTCGTATAGGAAAACAAAAAACTACTTCTACTTTTTTGACAAAACATTTTAAAATGTTTGACTTATCAATGTTCCCAAGCGTTGATGCATCTACCTGTATTATTTTACCATGATATGTACTTCACTCATGTATTTTACAACTGAAATGTCGTCCATGCATCACACGAGGTGTGCAACTTCTACATATGGAAAATTTGACACTTAGTATGTCACACCCTTATCGTATGATATCAGCTTAAGGTGTTACAAATTTTGTTTCAAAAACAGACGAAATGTCAAAATTTGTTTACGTTTTGCTTATATTTGCTCTCTTTCTATTGATGTCGAGCGTTTAAATTGCTTTTTTGAACTAAAGAATATCAAATAAATAATTCATACTTTCGCTCTCTACGGTACCCTTAATTATGCGACTATAAAGGTGTGAGTACATAAACAACTTAAAGTCTTCGCATGTCATATTTTGTGACATATCACAAAGGCATACAGAGCACAACTTCTGCCGTTGTTCCGCCTTATAATTTGACGATAATAGTTTTACATATGTGCTGTCACTTTTATTATCCATGCGTATTTCCGTCTGTATGTCAAAATCGTCATTTAACATATGACTCACAATTCGTTGTTTCACACACTTGCATATGTTTTTTTATTTTCTTGGTTTACATTCGAATTATATTATATTTTCTACAAAATTATTATACTTTATGGATGACATTTTACCACAAATTTAATTTTATATATTTTCACACAACAAACAAATAACACTTTTGATTAAATTATATTTTTCTGATAAAATAGGGCTCACTGTGATCGAAAAAGTATATATGTTCCGTGGTAGAAGAATTGAGGTAGTCGCATCGACACAGCTGATGGGACAATGAACTGTCAAACCATTTTTAGAAATGACATTTTTGAATGAAAAATTATTCAAATTAGAAAACATTTTTAAAAATACATTTCATAACAGCTTCCGATTTGCGTCGTATAGGAAAACAAAAAACTACTTCTACTTTTTTGACAAAACATTTTAAAATGTTTGACTTATCAATGTTCCCAAGCGTTGATGCATCTACCTGTATTATTTTACCATGATATGTACTTCACTCATGTATTTTACAACTGAAATGTCGTCCATGCATCACACGAGGTGTGCAACTTCTACATATGGAAAATTTGACACTTAGTATGTCACACCCTTATCGTATGATATCAGCTTAAGGTGTTACAAATTTTGTTTCAAAAACAGACGAAATGTCAAAATTTGTTTACGTTTTGCTTATATTTGCTCTCTTTCTATTGATGTCGAGCGTTTAAATTGCTTTTTTGAACTAAAGAATATCAAATAAATAATTCATACTTTCGCTCTCTACGGTACCCTTAATTATGCGACTATAAAGGTGTGAGTACATAAACAACTTAAAGTCTTCGCATGTCATATTTTGTGACATATCACAAAGGCATACAGAGCACAACTTCTGCCGTTGTTCCGCCTTATAATTTGACATAAATATGCCTAGCCATTATGCCAAGCTGCTTATGTACCCTCACCTTAATTGTTTATTATTTCCAATGTTTTTTTTTTTATTCTCCAGGTTCCATTAACCTAATATGTGTACCCATGGGTTGTCTATTTTCGGGAATGTTGACCCAACCTATTGGAAAGAGAAGAGCTATGCAGGTAGGCCATAATTTTTTTAAATACATTATCAGAATTAATACCTTCATCCTATATTTCAGATTGTCAATTTACCCATATTGGCATCTTGGCTTCTTTTTCATTTCTCTACCAGAACGGAGCATCTTTATGCCGCTTTGTGTTTGAGTGGTTTGGGTGGTGGCCTTATGGAAGCGCCGGTATAGAAGACAATATTTTTTCCAACAGACATTTATTTTAATCTTCTTCTTTTTTGAAATATCTCTCCTCAGGTCCTAACCTATGTGGCTGAAATAACCGAACCCAAGTATCGTGGCATACTCTCGGCTTTGGGTTCGACCTGTGTGATAACCGGTGTCTTTATACAATTTATTATGGGTTCTCTCATGGATTGGCGTACCATTGCCGCCGTCAGTTCAGCCTTTCCGGTCATCTCAATTATTTCTCTTTGTTTCATACCAGAATCTCCAACATGGCTTATACGAGAGCATCGCTTTAGAGAAGCCATTAAATCATTGCAATGGCTGCGCGGCTGGGTACCTGAATATAAAATAGAAGAGGAATTCAATCGATTATACAATGAACTGATAACCCAACCAGCCATGGAGGATCAAGCTGAATTGGATCAAATGCAGGGCAAAAAGCCTGGGTATTTTCATCGTTTTTTGGTTTTCCGAAAACGCTCATTTTTGGCACCATTCCTCTTGGTGGCATTTACATTTTTCGTGGGACATTTCTCCGGCAAGACATCTCTACAAACGTATGCTGTGCAGATTTTCCATACCCTTAAGGCACCCATTAATAAATATCATGCTACCATCTTACTGGGCATGGCCGAAATGGTGGCAACAGTTCTGTGTGTCTTTCTGATACATTTTACCGGCAAAAGACCTTTGGTTTTAATTTCCACAATTGGTGTGGGTATTTGTTTGTTTGGAACCGCCACATATGCCCATTATTTGAGGGTAGTTCCCGGTTTTGCGGTTAACAATGTGGTTGTGAATGCCTCGTCCATTGTACCTAAAGATAGTATTATTACGCGTGATAACATCACTCAGATATTTGAATCGGAAGAAAAGGCCCTGCTTTTAAAAACCCCTGGGACCCAACATACATTAGAAGAATTAACCACCATATTGCCAGAAATGGCCTACAATAGAACTGCCCGGGATGTGGCAACTCTGGAACCTTATAACATCACATTTGCCGATGAAGATGACTTGGATTTAGAGGATTTGGGAAAATCAAATTTCACAGAGTCCATTACAGAGGAAATTTTAGATTTGGAAGATTCAGAGGAGGTTACTAAGGAAACCACAACACTCTTTGATGATCTCACTACAATTTCAACATCCACACAATCCACCACCACCTCTACTACAACTGAAAGTCCCCTACCCATTAGTCCTGCCAGTGAGGAGCCAAAGAAAAGTCTTCCCGAAAAAGTAAAGGAAGAACTGTTGTTGACGGTGCCCAAACAAGAAATGAATAATTTGGTATGGATACCCTTGATTTTGTTGCTGGGTGCAGCTTTCTTTGCCCATTTGGGTATCCGTATGATACCATGGATATTAATTGGTGAAGTTTTCCCAGCCACCGTGCGCAGCACAGCCTCAGGATTGGTTAGTGGATTGGGTTATATTTTCGGTTTTCTGGCAAATAAATTATTTTTGCAAATGTTATCGCTGCTCACCATGCCGGGAACATTTTGGTTTTATTCTGCCGTAGCCTTTGTCGGATGTGTCACATTATATTTTACTCTACCCGAAACTGAGGGCAGGACTTTGGGGGTAAGTAAAAATCCTAAAATCATGGTACAAATTCCAAGGTAATCTCATCCAATTATTTGAAAACAATTGTTTTATTTAATGTCCCTTCCATGGCAGAAGAATACAGGTAGATGCATCAACGCTTGGGAGGATTGATATGTTAAAAAAAAATTAAATGTTTTTTCAAATATAAGTAGATTTTTATATGTTTTCTTATACTACGTCTTTCGGAGGCTATTATAATTTGCGTTTTTCAACAATTTTTACAAATTTAAATAATTTTTCATTCAACATTTTCAATTCCAAAATTGGTTTGACAGTTCATTGTCCCAGCAGCTGCGTCGACGCGTCTACCTATATTCTTCTACCATGGTCCCTTCACTGTCAAATTTATATTTTGTAGTTCTTCCTTGAACATAGACGTACAGCTGGCAAGAAATTTACATTGATTTTTGATCATGGTTAAAATCTATAGCAAAAAAATAGAGGTATACTCATTTGCTAAATCGAATATGGCAACCCTTTTCTGCCAAACTCGACCTTGTCATTTTTACGTTTTATTTTAAGGCAGACTTAATTATCAAACCCCACAAATTACCAGCTGATATTTGTTCCAAGAGCGGGAAAATAACAAAATATTTGGTAGATAGTAAATGCAAAATTCTTGCCAGCTGTACGCCCATATTTAAGAAAGAACTGCAAAGTATAAATTCGACAATGAAGCGACATAAAATAAAAAAATGCTAATCAAAAGATAGCATGAGATTACCTTGTTAATTATATCATGGGTAAAATGAAAACATATTGAATACTAATATGCTCTCACTTTTTTTCTTTCAAGGAAATCGAAGCCCATTTCTCCAAAAAATCCCCCACAAATCTTCTTTGCAAAAAGCAACAAAAATTGGAAAAACAACAGAAAAAACAAAACGAAAGTGAAGGTGGTTGTTTCTCCTTTCCCCTGCAAGTGGAACATTTGGATAATCTGCAAATACCCATTGGACCATATACAGAGGCAAAAATCATACAACTGCAACAAAGTGATTTTCTACCAAATCGTCGTAGTAATGGCACCAATAATGGTGGCACTACAAGTGAGGGCGTAGCAAATATGGCCTATGAAGAGGAGAGCAATACCACGCATTTGTAGTCGTAGATGGGAGTCCATCAGTGTTAATTCTTCGCCCGCGCCTTCACAGAGTGTATACGATGTTGATGATGAAAAAAATAAGGAGTATTTAAGTATTATTTAAATTAATAGAATGAACAAACTACAAACAGGCAGTCATTTATAAACCATTTACAACTGAGAGAAAAAACTAATAAACGAGTGCCACAAATGGTTGATTTTTTATTTAGAAGCAAAAAATAAAGCATGTTATGCTATAAGCTGTAAAAATGTGATTTTAAAGAAAAAAATAATAAAATTATTTAAAAAAGTATATATAATTTTTTAATTGATCATCATGTTTTTTGGCAGTATTTCAAGAATGACAACCTCATTAATGTACCGCTTAATATATCCACGGGATTTCAATTGTTAATGCTATTGTATTACGCCAAATTTTCCGGATTAACCCAGCAAAATATTCTAATGTAAACGTAGTACAATGAGGTTATGTTTTTAACATGGCAGCCATGGCAGAAGAATACAGGTAGATGCATCAACGCTTGCGAACATTGATATGTCAACAATTTTTAAATGTTCTTGCAAATATAAGTCGCTTTTTAAATGTTTTCTTATACGACATCGTTCGGAGGTGATTATAAATCGCGTTTTTCAACAATTTATGCAAATTTAAATAATTTTTCATTCAACATTTTCAACTCCAAAATTGGTTTGACAGTTCATTGTCTCAGCAGCTGTGTCGACGCGTCTACCTATATTCTTCTACCATGATGGCAGCATTCTGGAAATCAAACCAGAAAACAAATCTAGTTCTTTCTCTCCTGCCGTTAACCTTTTTGTTGTTAGCAACTCACCAAACATATATTTATAAAAGGTATTTTATAAGTAATAGCGCATTTAGATACAAAATAATGTCCGAATTAACTTATAACATCGGGATTTTTTGCTTAATCCGAATTTATCCAATCAGTTTTATCGCACGTTTAGATACACAAATGTATCCGGATTAATCCACATTATCAGGATTTACTGCTTTTTTGACGTGCTTTTTTGAAATGACTTTACCTTCTTAATTATACGATGAATGCATAGAAAGACGTATTATGTAAAATATATCAGCTTCTAAGGGTGCATCGAAACATACAGGGTTAACCCACTCGATCTATTAAACCACTGGGTTTAATCTTCAACCTAAATCTGGGTTAATCTTTAATAGTATAATGCACAATAAACACTGATACCATTTTTTGGCTGCACATTAAACTCAACGTGTCTTTTCCGTAGTCAAATGTGATGAAATTTGTCAGTTACCAAGGTAACAATGATGAAGATTTGCATGTAAACGTGTTTTAAAACATTTAATGAATTTACTGCCACATGTCACACATTTTCATTTAAGTACTCCCCCACAACGCAAACGTTTACTTTACAATGTCACTGTCACTCACAACGGCGTTCAACTTAATGCTAGGAACACAATTGGAGCGAACGACGAATTTTTTCGCGGCGTATGTTCGTCGTCAAAAATAAAACACATATGTGTATATGGAAGTGCACACAATCACGGCACCGGCGAAAATTTCGTCGGTCGCCGCGAACTCAATTAGCTTTATTTCTATTTCATACGCCGGCGACCGGCGAACAAAACAGTACAAGGTGGCCATACTTGTACGAATTTTATGTGTTTTAGTAAATAAAGTTACTTTTTACTTTAAAATTTGTTATGGTCACTCTACTATCTGTTACTCGTATAAAAAAAACATAATTAATTTGTTTATTTATTTGAGTACTTGCGCCTGAGTGAAGATGGATATCAGTGAATTTATAATAGAGAAGATGGACATAAGTGAAATTATAACAGAGAACGTAAAGAATTATGTGTTCTTGTATAATTCATTGTAGTCAACAAATGAGCAAAAAGTAAACAACTTCATCAGCTGTTTTATAATTTCGTCGGTATTGTGTTCCATACGACGAATTTTCGCGGCTCATTTTGTCGCCGCGTAGGGCGAAATTCGTCGTTCGCTCCAATTGTGTTCCTAGCATAATGCGCGCGCCAAAAACGATTCTTGACACTGCGGACTTAAACGTCACTGCCGGCTTCGTTCTCTAGTAAATTTTGATGTTAAGGCGTAAACTAGTTGTGGATTAAAGTTTTTTTATTTTATTTGGGATAAGTGTTAAATAGAAGCAGGAAAATGTCCACAGCGGAAGCTCAGATTGGTTTAAATACAAATTTGCAACAGCAGGATCTAAAAAATTTGGTAAATGTCAATGGGAAAATGCCAAAGGAAAAAAGCAACGCCAAATAACATCGGCCTGCAACAGCGCGGCGAGAAAGTGAAGAAAAAATTGGAAATTTCTTTTGAAAAAATGCCAACTAAATATGGTATTTGTTGTTTTTGTGTGCGGAAAGGATGTGAATGACTTTAAGCAATATTATTTTAAAATAATAAAATATGTGCACCATGGTCCATGTCAACACAATTTTCTACATTGATACGATGTGACGCGAAAAAATCGCACGTGGCGTTTCTATGGCTTATTTTTTGCAATTGTGCGGTATACTGTCAAAATGCTTATTGAAAATGGAGATTTTCAAGGAATTAACGTATTTTCTACGATAATTTATGCCACAAATAAGTGCTAATATTATTTCTGATGCAATTGCTCATCCTGTAAAAATCTAACCTCAAAAATGCCACGACAGTCGACAGTTATTGGTAGTTTTTTTTCTCTTCTCACAATATGCTTGCTGCTGCTGTGGCGCCTTGCTGATGTTATTGGTTGTTTGGCTTTTACAATATAGAACATTTTTTTTCTAACTTGATCTCTCTTCTTTTCCAGGATGTCAGCAATTTGACACCATTGTCGCCTGAGGTAATTTCACGTCAAGCTACTATCAATATTGGTACCATTGGTCATGTAGCTCACGGTAAATCAACAGTGGTCAAAGCCATTTCGGGTGTACAGACTGTTCGTTTCAAGAACGAATTGGAAAGAAATATTACCATTAAATTGGGTAAGCATTTGTGTTATGAGTATGCATTTATTATTAATTTTCGTTTTCGGATAAACAAAATTTTAGCGATCGATGAGAGAGTAAAATTTCGAAATATGTAATTTTGAAAGGTGAAACTTAAATGCTAAATCACTAGGCCTTAGATTCGTGATTTCACAATTTTTCCGGATATTTCAAAACTTGTTCCTGTTCGAAATCTGTCTTAAACATTATCATCCTCGATGGCTCGTTATTGCCCATATTATAATAGCATAGGATGTATATATTTCACTTCAAGTGGAATCTTAACGGGACAACTATTATCATAAAAAAAGATAATGAATTTTATAGTGAATTTTTAAAGACAAAAATTCCAAATTTTCAAATTTGATCAATTAACTTTTATATTATTCTAAATTAACTCCCCTGCAAAAAGAATCTGTCTTTTCCAGATCGCTATTATTTTGTTTATTGTAACCATTTCCATTCACATTTGTTACAAAAACCTGAATTCTCTAGTCATTTATTTGTTAAGAAAAACTAAATCAACATTATCCCTATCATATATTTTTAACACAAACATAAAGCGATAATTATGTACCATCATTTTTCCTACATTTTAGAAGATTCATATCTTTATTTGTTTAATTTAATTTCCAATTTTTGGCTTAGCAAAGAAATCTATTAAAATTGTAAATATAGAAAAAAGATGTAAACTGTGAAATATGCGTTCTGTGAAATTTCCAAATAAATTGCTGGAGTAATAAACCAAATGAAAAATATTTGATAGGGTATAAGTTTGATTTGTTATAAGTTCCCACCTTCAAAGAAAATCTCTACATAAATAGACCAGCAATTTGTTAAAAAAAAAAACAAGTAAAAGTAATGATTGTTTTGATGCAAAAAACATGCCGCCACTTTATTTGATTCGTTTTTATGTTTATTTTTATTTTTGTTTCCGGTATTCATAACTCGCTCGCTCACTCTCTCTGTGTCTTGTTGATCCGATCGGTCGAATGTTCAATGGGAAATTTTGCAGAACGCATAAGTCAGCAACGCATACAAGCTCTGCTAGCATCTCCAAAATTATTACGCGAGTTCGAAAGGCAACAAGAGGCAAAACGCCGGCAACGACTGAGACAAAGACAACAACAGCAAGTGCAACAACGTAGAGTAAGGCAATTAAAACAACAACAACAAGAAAAACAAAGTACAATGACACGTTCATCATCTCTGGATAGTTTACTGACGCGCTCGGAACGTGGACCTTCCGTTAGTCCCAGCAGTGGCTATGAAAGCCTTAACGATAATGCATCCATCTGTAGTGCGGATTCTTTGTATATGAAATCTCCACCCAAATCCTTAGTTGTTTTACTAACCAAATCCAGTCTCGTAGAAGAAGCCTTGCAGCACACCATACAGAATAAACGACGTCGCAATTCCTGCGAAACTCCATCTCATACGCCGAAAAAGCAAAAACACGAATATGTTGTCGAAAACATTGAGAGCATTGAATGTATAAATGCCGAGCCAGTATTCTATGTCAAATGGCTGAATTACCCGAAATCACAAAATACCTGGGAACGACTGAGCAATGTCAGCGAATGTGTTCTGCTCGATGGCTTCATTCAAAGTCAGATGTATCTACATGAGGATGTCATACCTGATATACGTGAGAAACTACTGCAGAAAATCCAAGACGAGCAGATTACGCTGCAGCCCCATGAATTAAATATGGAAGAATTGGATAATTTTGATCCCATGGTTGTTAAAATCGATTTAATACTGTTGGCCCAGTTTATAAAGGCTCGTTCTCGCAGCCAACGTGAACCCGAGAAAATACGTGAACGTCTCATTAAATCTATGTTAATGGAACAGTGTTCCGTAAAACGTAAACAACAATTGGCCTCCTTACAGGAATGGGAGGAACGCATGAATCTGATTGAGTCAGTATCCCCAATACGAGTGGAAAATAATGTCGATCTAGAGACACTGGATCCCAATTTCCAGTACATAAATGCCAACTTTTGTGGCAAGGGTGTTGAAATTCAGATCAGCCCCAAAATGGGTTGCAAGTGTGAGGATGTTTGTGCACCCTCAACCAAGTGCTGTGCACGTTTGGCCGACAGCTATTTTGCCTATGACAAAAACGGCCGTCTACGCATATATCCGGGTGAAGCAATCTATGAGTGTAATGAGGCATGTGCCTGTTCCGAAGACTGTCCGAATCGCGTCATTCAAAGAGGACGCCACAACTCCCTGTGTCTGTTCAAGACATCCAACGGTCGTGGTTGGGGTGTTCGAACGGAAAAAGCCCTGCGTAAGGGTGAATTTGTGGGAGAATATGTGGGCGAAATAATCACCTCTGAGGAGGCTGATGAACGTGGCACCCAATACGATGCAATTGGACGTACTTACCTCTTTGATTTGGACTACAACACGAATGCGGAAAGCATGTACACCATTGACGCAGCCCTGCATGGCAATGTATGTCACTTTTTCAATCATTCTTGTGATCCCAATTTGGCCGTTTTTCCATTTTGGGTGGACAATTTGGACATTAACATGCCCCGCCTGGCATTTTTCACATTGCGACCCATTAAGCCGGGCGAAGAGCTAACCTTTGATTATATTCGTGGCGACGAGGGCGAATATGAGAATCTTTCAAATGCCGAAAAAGTTAGTTGCCGCTGTGGAGCTGAAAAATGCCGCAAAGTTTTGTTTTAACTTTAACCCACAACATTTTATTTTATAACGTTTTTTTTTAATTGACATTGCATTTATTTTTATAAACAACAAATCACGAGATAATTGTATACTTGAATACATTTCACATCTGTTATACTCATTTAGAACTTTTAAAGATTAACCCACTGAAACATTACATTCGACAACAAAAAATTATTATTATATCCATTATTTGTTGTAATTATTTGAAAAAGAAAATTGTTTTTATGAAGACATTTTTACAAGACACTGTTTTTGGTTCCTCCAATCCCGGGGGCGGTTTAGTTAGTCTTTGTCCCATACGACATGTTTTTAATTTTTTATTTGTGAAAAATTGAATTGTTGTAATGATGATTAGTTTTAATTAATTGAGAAAACGCTTAACTTTTACATTCGACATTTTTGCAATCTCGATATTGATTCCTTGGACCATTAAATGATTATAGTAATGATGAATTTTTATTAAACCCTTTGAAGCAAATAAATGACTAGAGAAAAAAAAAACAAATACATTTTTGGCGTTTTGGGTGGTGGCAATGGTTCTAACATTCTCACTTCTTTATTTACTATTTCTCTATCTCTCACCCTCTCCACATCTTTTTCTGCTTCTCGACGATGATTTCCTTTCCAACAGGTTACGCCAATGCCAAAATTTACAAATGTGACAACCCCAAGTGTCCCAGACCAGCATGCTTTGTTTCGGATAGTTCCAGTAAAGACGATAACTTCCCCTGCGCTCGTCCCTCCTGTTCTGGCCGCTTCCGTTTGATACGTCACGTCAGCTTCGTCGATTGCCCTGGTCACGACATTCTTATGGCCACTATGTTGAACGGTGCCGCTGTTATGGACGCTGCTCTGCTTTTGATTGCCGGCAATGAATCTTGTCCCCAGCCACAGACCTCGGAACATTTGGCCGCCATTGAAATTATGAAACTGAAACAGATCTTGATTTTGCAAAATAAAATCGATTTGGTCAAGGAATCCCAGGCCAAGGAGCAATACGAAGACATTACAAAATTCGTACAGGGTACAGTGGCCGAGGGAGCACCAATTATACCCATATCGGCTCAATTGAAATACAACATTGATGTGAGTAAAATACTATTGGAATTTGTGATTTGATGATCTTAATCTCAAACTATTTATTCTCCTTCGTTTCAGGTATTGTGCGAGTACATTGTCAACAAGATTCCTGTGCCACAGCGTGATTTTAATGCCCCACCCAGGCTAATTGTTATACGTTCCTTTGATGTCAACAAACCCGGCTGTGAGGTAAACGATCTCAAGGGCGGTGTGGCTGGTGGTTCCATCCTTTGCGGTGTCCTGCGTGTTGGCCAAGAAATCGAAGTACGTCCCGGTGTGGTGACCAAAGACAGCGAAGGTAACATCACCTGCCGTCCGATTTTCTCACGCATCGTCTCTCTGTATGCCGAACAAAATGAACTGCAATATGCTGTACCCGGTGGTCTGATTGGTGTCGGTACCAAAATTGATCCCACACTCTGCCGTGCAGATCGTTTGGTGGGTCAGGTGTTGGGTGCTGTCGGTCAACTGCCGGATATTTTCATTGAATTGGAAATTTCGTATTATCTGTTGCGTCGCCTGTTGGGTGTCCGCACAGATGGTGATAAGAAGGGTGCTCGTGTTGAAAAATTAGTGAAGGGTGAAATTCTATTGGTCAACATTGGTTCATTGAGTACTGGTGGTCGTATTTCGGCAACGAAGGGTGACTTGGCCAAGATTGTCCTCACCACACCGGTGTGCACGGAAAAGGGTGAAAAGATTGCCCTCAGTCGTCGTGTGGAAAAACATTGGCGGTAAGTTGGAAAAAAATAACTATTTAGAAATCTTTCTTTTTGTATGTAGACACATAAAGGGTGATTGTTTAAGAGCTATGAGAAAGTTTCTCAAAAAACGCATTTAGAAAAGTTTATATCTTTCAGCGGCCTTCCTTTTATGGGGGTTCCCTTAAAGCATCTTCTCGAATGTCTTCTGTCTGTAAAAGTTCTCCCAGGGATCTTCCATTTATTGAAGTCTCCTCAAATTTCGTCTATCTATAGAAATATTTTAATTCGTTTCTATCTACAAAGGACCACTAAGAGTTAATTTCTAATTTCTGATGCGAAATAGGGTTGAATATTCTATCGCGGTAGCCCGCACCATTCGTTACGATTCGCAGCGTCTTGGAATAGATACGTTCCAAGACGCCACCGGCCCATAAACAACAGCAAACTGATGTGACCTTTTCTGAATACATTGGTTGTTTTTGCAATGCAGGTCCATCAAAGATCATGTTTCAAATCCATCAACATCCAATACACTTATATTTGAGTTATAATATTTAAATTTGGTTTTTTGAACTGTTTAATTCCAATAAAGCCGCAAAAGCACAACAAGTAGGGTGCACAAGGAGCGAAAAAGGTCCATTAGCGTTGCCAACTTCCCAAAAAATATCTCCTCTCCCATTTATGATTTAAAGAGCAATCTTTCAAGAAAAATGTTTTTTTATAGAAATGGTAAATCAAGCTTTCCTCATAACTTTTTCTAGTCTAGCCTTTATACCATATAAATAGCTTATACTTACAAATTAATAATATCTATATTTTCTCTCTTTTTCTTTACAGTTTAATTGGCTGGGGTCAAATCTTTGGCGGCAAAACTATACAACCTGTTATCGATAGAAATGCACCAGTATCCAAATAATTTTCCACTTATTTAATTCAACAACAACAACAACAACCATCATCTAACAATATGATAAATATTAATTTTATTATTTTCGTTCAACATCAACAGCAGCAGCAAACAACCTTCTCAGTTGTTAATTTTAATTTACCTCCTTCGCTGGGAGATGACCTGCAGCAGCAGCAACAACAATTTAATTCTTCTGCGTTTAGTAGTTCTGTGTTGCTTCTATGTATGTTATACATCATCAACAACAACAACAATAGATTGTGGTTTTCTAGGAAACATTCAAACAAAAAAGAAATTCGTTTTCTTTGTTTCCCCAATACAATATATTATTTTTTATGGAAATTTAACTGCATTGTTAAGACAAAAACAAATAAAGCGCATTTTTTACACCACACTAAAAACAAACAAAACAAAACCCCAAAAAAACACATCTCTGTTTCATTTGTCGTTACAAAAAATATTTTATTTTATTTTGTTTTTTTTTTTTTTACAAATAATAATTTAATACAATTTTATATAGAATTTTAAATTACAAAATTTGCAACTGTCTTAAAAAATCTAATTCATGGGGTGCGTATTATTTCTTAAAAAAGAGTGACAACTATTGATGACTTAGATTAGATTCTTGTTTCTATTTTTATTTTGTGCAATATTTGTTTAGTGTAGATACTGATGGGTTTGAAATAAAAAATAACGATCTAGATATATGCTGAAATGTTAATTTTACAAAAAAAAAAAGGAAATAAAATTTCCCTTTCGGATTTCTTTTTATTTTTCAAGTCGACGTCGACACAAATTTGGTATTCCGTTACGTAAAACACAAGGAAGATACCCTTTCGAATCTATTAATTACCAATATTCTTCTTGTCGACGTCGACACAAATTTGGTATTCCGTAACGGAATATGTCATGGTACAATGAAATAAATGTAACCTCATTTCAAATTAGCATTCCCAGCTCTGCATTTTCTGTAATTTACCTTGTCAAATTTCAATGCATAAAAAACAGTTCCTATCTCTAACGTCAATATCAGAGCCAATAAAAGTCTATATCACAAATATTAATTTATCAATAATGCTTTTCATAACTTGAAGAAATTCAGATATTTTAAGAAAAAATATTTCAAATTGAATTTACAAAGTTAAGGTTAGGTTAGAATTTGAATTTGTAAACAAACAAAATGATCGTGTTTACTTGCCAAAGAGGTCAGCTGAAAATGTGCACCTTCGATTGGCCACCAGAACGCAAGCGCCGTCCATGGTGATGATGTGGGCCATAACAGTCGATGGAATCTATAACGTTTTGCTGATAAAAACAATCAGCCCAATCATGAATATGACACGTAGGGAGATTTTAGATGATTTTACGCTCTTATTTTGTGTTATTTTGACCATGTCCCCTGCATTTATGCAAGGCAATTATTTTCAGTATCTTTTTTTGCATTATTGCAATTTTTAGCTTTATTTTGTATAAAAATATTAACACAAAGCGAATTTCCAGTACGAGCATTTTCTATTTCATTTCCGTTCACCCCACTCTCTCCTACAAACAAAGGATTGCCGCCAGAAATCTTGCTTAATTTAGGACAAAATTCCTACCATCCTTAATGATTGTGTAGAGGCAATTTGCGAAGATGGCAATGCGAATGGGTCTTTTTCGTACCTTGTGTAACCTATGTTGCATAAATTGGGGCGTCAAACTTTAAACTTTTGTTTTTTAAAAAAATTAAGCAACATAAACCAAATAACTTTCAATTTTAAGATTCAAACTTACGTGTCGAATGTTGAAAAAGTCTTGGGAGCTACATAGATGCTTGAAAATACAATACTGAATGGCCAATTTCAAGTGCAAAAGGAAAAACTAATAACGTATCAGTATATGTTAATAAAAAATGAAAGCATGGCATGAACTTACGTTTTTTTTAAATAAAATTTTGAATTTTAACTATTTTAATCAATTGATTATAGTTGAGTACAGTTCAAATTGGGTGTATTAATATAAAATCTAAAATACGGGCTGAATATATCGCGGATGATTTTTTTTAATAATAATTCAATTTTGTTGAAAACTCCCAAGTAATTTTGCCAGGAAGTTATTTTGGAGGAAATACAATTTTTTTTCCCGCGGAATTGTTTTTTGAGAGAAATGTTTGTCTAGGATACTAAATAAAAACGGCTGATAAATTTCTCTTAAATTTTATATAAAATTTTCTTTTTTGATAATTTTATTTTCCAGATTGAATTTAGGTCATAATTAACAAATTTTGTTTTGATCATTTAATTTTCCAAATTGAGGTTAGGTCAAAATTAAAATTTATTTTTTTTTTTATTCGAGATCAATAATGTTTTGCCAATAAAAACAATATTTATCAAATTTAAATTTGTTGTTGGTTAAAAACAAAAAAACTTTACTACTTAACTAAACAAAAAAATGAGATTGGAATGAGAGGGGATAGATTATTGGACTTAGATCTGCACTTAACATAATAAAACTGGGTAATAATTCCTGTGTGTCATGTCTTTTTTTTAACAGTGATAACTGTTTTTAGAAAACTTAAAATATTTGTTTCAAAAATGTCTTTTTTCAAATCTAAATGTTATGAGGCTAAAATATTCGTTTCAAAAATGTCTTTTCGTTTCAAAAGTGTCTTTTTTAAATTTAAATGTCATGATGTAAAATAAAATAAGGAACATAACTAGAAAAAAATAATTAAAAATAATATTATGGCAGTTACACACATATACATTATGTGATAAAGCGCCCCTGTATATGTATATATAAAAAAATCTTTGGCTTAATACTAAAATTATCAAAAAAATAGAGGAGGTATCTCTTTGTATATACCTGACTGTCTGTCTCTACGTGTGTGTGTGTGTGTCTTAATTCTTACAATAGCAATATTTACGTAATTCCGGATTACGTTCATATATACAATTCGCCTGACTACCATACTTATTGATGCGTGATATCTCTGTTAGTTTGGTGCGCATCGTAAACGTTTCCAAATTATGATAAACACTTGCCTCAAATAGCGAATCACCTGGTGTTAGCATAATTTGCAATTGATATATCTCCTCGGTGGTACGTGTCGCATCACCCATTTCAGCCATATAACCATCCACATCAGCATTGTGCTTAAATGCCAACAGGGCACGATGTGGCATTAAACGCATTGCCCAATTAATTTGTTTTAATTGTAGAGTTTCACAATACTGGCGAAAGGTTTCAGTTGCATTGTTAATTGTGTTAATAATACTATTGGCAGCCTTTAGTAGTGGTCCCATTTCCGCACTCACATTTAACTGTTGCCAATTAAGGCAGGCACACCAATGCGGTTCGATGTAGGCATCGGCACAACTACGATTTTTGGGTATTGGATCAAAAAGGGATATGGCCCGATTTATGGCTAAATCGGATATTGGTATATTTGGTTTGTTGCTGGAGGTTTTTTGTGTATCTTCACTGTCATAGGTATCATCGTTGTTGTTGTTATTGTAGGTTACCTTTTGTAGTTCTGTGTAATAGTTTAAATGCAAAATTTTAATATTTCTCAAAAATTATTTTTATATAAAGAAACTTACCTAAAATATGCCGAAGTGTGGCATGTATATCATAGGGCGTTGTTAAGCGTCCACTATTCTCCACAAAATTGCCATATTCTTGGGGAAAACGTTTCTTAAACGATTCGGGAAATGTAAAGCTAAAGAAAGGCAAACGTTCTTCCTGTTTGCCCTGCAGTGTGGAACGGACATCGGAAAATCTAGGAAAGGAATACAAAAACAATAGAGAACAATTTCAACATTTTATATGCAGAATACATTTTACATGGAAGACCTATTCCGCTATGAAGAGAAGACTTTTTGATAGATTTTTAAAGTATCTTCTGCAAGTAGTTGAACTTCAATAGGTTTTCTTTAGGCAGAAGACGTATTAAAGTCCTTCCTTCATAGGTAGTTTAAGGCTTTCCCTAAGTCCATGGGTAGTACACTTTTTTTAAAGGATCTACTTCTTCTACTGATATGCGATCTAAAGAAGGTCTTCTATGAATAGAGGTTCTTTCAACAGGTCTTGCAAAGGGACCTTTGGTATATACAGGGTGAGATGAAAAAACTGCAACCAACTTCAGACTGCTGTCATTTCTAAGCCACTCGTCCGACAGCTGTTAAAATGAATTCCAGTTTCGCCGGGTATGGGCCAAAATACCGCAGAGCAACATTCGGGCAGCGTGTGACGTTTTCATTGAAGGTCATAATTCGTGCCAAAGGTGACCAATTCGAAAAAAATCGAAACTTATTCTAATATTTGATGCTATTTCCGACATTTTTTGCTTTCATTCAATAAAATTTTAACTTCTGTGGAATTCAGAATACCTTCCAGAAACTTTTCTTTGGATTAAAGACATTTGGAAAATTTGTTTTTTCGATGTAAGATCTTATTAACGAACTTGCAAATGCCCTGTTTTGGGAAGGAATTGTTTTCGAAGGTCTTTCATAGATATACGACTTTTCACAGGCCTCTCGCTATAACTTCTAAATAACTTTAAGCCTTCTTTAAAAGACCTTTATGTCCACCCTCCCCTCCCCTCTTCACATTGAACATTTGTGTTTTTAGATCTTCTTCAAAAGACCTTTATGACCACCATCCTCTCCTCTTCACAGTGAATATTTCTATACCCACCTATTTCCATGATCGGCCATGAAGATAAGTATTGTATTATCCAACAACTTTCTGTGCTGGAGATCTTCAAACCAAGCCACAACATCATCATCCGCAGCTTCAATCAAATTAATGGAGTCATGGGATAAATCACCATGGAAACTAAACACAAATCTGGGGGTGTCACTATACTTCGCCATAAACTGCAAAAAAGTAATTTTTATTTAAAAAAAAAAAAAACCTCCAAAAATCTCTCATTTTCACTTACATTTTTCGTATAGTCCAACATGACCACATGTCCCGGCGTATGACCAGCACAATGGGGACTACTTGAGCTCAAGATGTTATCAACTTCCAAATAATAGGTACGCAAATAATGATGTACAGGCTGGGTTTCGAAACCCTTCATGCGATATGTAAATGTTCCGACATTTGGTAAATCTTCATTGAATGATGTTATATAACCATGTTCTTCATAATCTTTCCATATCAACGGGTAGGCCCTGTCGACGTTTAATGCATCCGACATACGTTTTCGTGTTTCGGGCAATTCCAATTCATTGTAACCGGTTAAAATTGGTACTAGGGCCTGGGGAGTGCCATCCCCTACAATATTGTAACTGGTCAGTACAATGGCTCCCAATTTCTTTGTCAGGTATTCATAGGTTTTGGGCAATTTTCGTATAAAAGCATTACGGCTCAGAGAATCGAAGCCAAACATCAAGACATTGAAATAACGTGGCAAATCGTTTAGAGAGTCCAAAACATTCATGGGATTGGGATTGGCATCCAAGGGTGGCGGTACCGGTTTGTGGACAATGGATTTTTCAACCCCATCACGTATGCCATAGGCCATACCAAACCAACTGGAAGATATAAATTATTAAATTAATAAGGTACATAAACCTGGACGTGGTTGACTTTTTCTACAAAGGCCAATGTCTTCTACAAGGTCGGAGTCTTTGTCTCAAGGCAGGAATGGAAGATACTAATGCTCTATTTAGTTTTAGGAGCACCAAATCTGTTTTCCCTCTTTGTCTTGAAGCAGGGACTCCAACCTCTTTTAGAACTTTAATCCGAGCCCATGTTTTACAAATCTTAACATACCTGGCACCATCGTTGGCCGTACAGAAGACCTTAACAAAATCCGATTCTTGCAATACATATGGCTCACTTGTGCGCAATGATTTTCCATAACGAGACTTGAAGTCATTCTTACGAATTATATCCGTATAAAAACAACTCACTTCTCCGTGCAAGGCCAATACCTCTGGTTTTACAAAACAAATAGATTTCTGAAAAAAAAAACAACAAAATATTAATAACAAATTCTAGAGATGCTTCATCCGGAAACTTCTAGGAAAATATAAACTTTTTCTCTCCTAAAAATATACATATTCTTCTAATAAACTTTGCTTGTGAGAACTTCACATAGTTTCTTACCTCACACATTACCCAGTCATCCGTGGTCCTCCCACAATCCACTTTGTCAACTTTTCTATAGAATTTCATTATTTCCGGATTATCAATGGGTAATTCTGGCATCAAGCATTCACCCTTGTTAACCACCGATCTTATTGAACGTTCCATTATGGCGCTGAGAAGAAAAAAGAAAAGGAAAATTAAAAGTAAGATAACGGCCCTGTACAACAACGAGGTAATGTAATGGGTTGGCAACGCCATAATTGTGGCCACTTTGTGTAGAGTTGTATAAAAGAGTACGTCTCTGAGACAGCAAAAACACACCATTTGGCAACCCTGTAACCATTTGACAATTCAATAGTATCAAGAACAAGCTGTACATGTTTATAAATCAATTGCACGTAGAAAAAATTAAATCAATTGCAAAATTCCCTCTCAAAATTGTTGTTTTCGTGTTAATTAGCAAAACATAATCGATAATGAGTTGCAAAACAGTGTAAAATTAAATGAGAAAGTTTTGATTATTGCCTCTCAAAAGAGAAATAGAGGTAGACATTGCGCTCGCTTGGCTGCCGCTGCTAGCTGTCACTAAATTACCAATAGAAGGAAACATGAAAAAGTGTGCAAATTTTTGCAAACATTTGCCATAAAATTGTAGTGAGGCGAACTTTATCATAGCTCCATAAAGTTCCAGCTACAAATGTAAACGTATTGTTGCTCCCAGCCGTAATACCAAACTTCAGCAGCACCCCGTTGAGCCGACTGTGATATGGGCATAACATGTTCAGCAACAACAACCATCGGAAGCATAATACCATTGAAAATATAGCCACAACCATGAATGCAAATAATAATCAATTAGGATCATCCGTCATGTTGGGCAATCAAACTACCTCCTGCGAAATGAATCCAGTGACTGGCACCGGAACTACAACAACCACCACCAGCAACACAACCGGTACAATACCCAAAGAAAAATCCTCTAAGGCAGCCAAAAATCAACAGCCACGAAAACCTCCGCCCACCATTGAAACCTTTTGGCCTTCGATAATGCAAGAGGTCCAAAACACAACCATCGATGCCAAACACCAAGCCTTGCCGTTGGCCCGCATAAAGAAAATTATGAAATTGGATGAAAATGCTCGAATGATTGCCGCCGAGGCTCCACTGCTGTTTGCCAAGGCCTGTGAGTTTTTCATTCAAGAGCTGACCATGAGAGCTTGGATTCACACGGATGAAAGTAAACGAAGGACTCTACAAAGATCGGATATTGCTCAAGCTATTGCAAATTATGATCAATTTGATTTTCTCATTGACATTGTGCCGCGGGAAGATATTAAGCCCTCGAATCATCAACGGAAACATCATGGTAACAGTGAAGGTAATTCCAGTGGCCATGCGAAAGCTTCAACAGCAGCAGCGGCAACACAACAGGCAACTTCAAATGTGGAAAATCCAGATGTTTTGAATGTTGCAACTGCCGTTCCCGCCACTACACCTAGCAATAACGAAGCTTTGCCAGTCAATGCCACAATTCCCACGGCAACAATAACCAATAGTCAACAACCCGCCCAAGTTTTAGCTACAACAGCACATCCAACGCAACAGCTACAAATCATACATCAACCCACACCTGCGGCTCAAACACCCTTACAATATTTCATTGCTCTCCCCGGGCAACAGCCCCAGTTGGTGCATCAATTGCAGTTACAGCAACAACAGCAAATACCCAACATAACACCGACCAGTCTAAATGTGGTGGCAGCAGCCCAGCAACCTCAACAATTAATACTGACAGCTGCAAATCCAAATGCTGCTGCTGCCACTGCTGGCGTACCTCATCACCATCACCAACAACAGGCAGCAGTTTTTCAAAACTTCATTCCCCAGCAAGCAGCAACAAATCCACAACAACACCATCAGCAGCAACAACAACAACAGGTACAATTGTTACAACAGGTTATGGTTACGCCAACGGGGGAAATTACAAATATGCCGGTAAGTTTTGGGAATGCAATTTAATTGAAAAGTGTTTGAATTCAAAAAATCTATTCTTTCAGATAACCATAAATGCAAATCAATTGCAATTTCTGCGGCAACCCCAAGCACAACACCAGCAGCAACCGCATCAGCAGCAACATAACCAGCAGCCACAACAACAGCAAACTACAACACAAGCATCTGGTCCACCCGTTTTAATACCATATCACAGTTTTTAAATCGGCTCAAATCGTATAGTATAGTTGTTGGCCAAAAGCGTTGGGAGAATTTCTAATGGTTTCAAAGCTAGAAAATCAAGACCGTTGCATGTGGGAACAGGATCCCAAGGATTGTAAATTTATTCACAAAAAACACGTTTACTTGAAGAGCTTCATAAATTCACTTATACGAATCGGAAGAAATGTACATTTCGAACATAAGAATCTTGCTCCTATGACGAGTGAATGCGAACGAAAAAATACCATTTTAAATATGATTTTAAAATTTTTATTTTCACTTTAAAATATCAAAAATTTTAAAAACTCGTTTGAAATACTGTTTTTTCTATCGCATTCTTAGAAAAAAAGGATATTTAAAGAAAGCTCTTCTTGAATTCTCATCTATAAAAATGTCTTTAGTTTTTCCACAAATTTTTTAATCAGAACCCTTAGATTTTTTTGTATTAGTTATTGTTTTATTTTCCCTCAAATTTAAAATAGCCTTCAGTCTATTTATAAAAAATTATTAGATTTATATATAAAAAATTATATATAGTCTTAATTTTATAAATTACAAATTATATTTTAGTTTAATATATATATAACATAAAACAAAAAATTAAAACATAATCATTACATTTTAAGATAAACATATTTGTATAAGAGATAACAACAAAAACAAACATATGTATATATAATAAATATATTGCAAAACAAATTAATTTATGTATGAAGAGACAAGTAAACAATTTTATTTTGTTAATAAAGTGTATCAGTTTTCTTTTTGTAAGAAAATCATTTTTTTTCTGGAAAAAACAAGAAAAGGCAGTGGCTTTATGTCCTTCATGCGATTATTTGTATACCTTGTCCATCTGAATTCTCGTTTGCGCATTCCAGCCCTAGTCTTTCACACCAAATCGGAAAAGTGGCAGACATACACTCAAAATCAAATTCTCACGAATTTTAATTCTATAGTTTCGTAAGACCTACAGAAGGTTTCTTAGACTAAGAAGTACTACAGAAGACATAAAAGATCTATAGAAGCTTTTATTTATTTATTTTATTTATTTATTCAAACTCATTTGTGTAATACAGGGCCTCTAAGACCATAAAATCATATTACATAGCTAGCAAAACCTGAGTATTTAATACTTATAATTAAATACAAAAAAAAAATTAAAACTATAAAATAATTTCTCTTCATTGGCTCCCCAGCCATAATAATATAATAAGACAAGAAAAATATAGCGTCCAAGCAAACAATAACTCAAATAGTTGTAATACAATGCAATCATTATGAAGATCATTTCACCAAAAGTCAGAAAATCAGAAGCATGGCTATTTATTTTATAGACGTAAAGGACCTATAGGTCTTTTAGACATAGAATAACCTTAAAATGTCTTTTAGAAATGAAAGACGTTTGAAGGTCTAGATTTAAAAGTTCTACTAAAGACATTAAAGACCTACAGAAGGTCTAATAGTCATGGAGGATCTATAGGGTTATTTTAGATAGATTCTTAAAAAAGCCTTCTAGACATGGAAGGCTTACAGAAGATCTCCTTGAACAAAAAAGTATGACGGTAGACATAAAAGACCTACAAAAGGTCTTATAGAGATAGAGGACCTATGTCTAATAGTCATGTAGGACCTATAGAGTTATTTTAGATAGATTCTTAAAAAAGCTTTCTTAACATGGAAGGTTAATAGGTCTCCTAGACTTTAAAGTACAACGGTAGACACAAAAGACCTACAGAAGGTCTTGTAGACATGGAGGACCTATAGAGGGACGTCTAAAAATAGAGGACCCATAAAATATCTTTTGCAGGCAAAAGCGTTGCTAAAGGTATTTTGTACACAGGACACCTAAAGTAAGACTTCTATACAAATAAGGCCACAAAAGGTCTTTTGTATATAAATGACCTAAAGAAAGCTTTCTCTGCACAGTCAACCTATTAATGTTCTTCTATACGTAGAATACCTGTATAAGGTATTCTATATCTGGGGTCTTGTGGACGATCTTCTATATAGGGTGAGATGAAAAAACTGCAACCAATTTCGGACTACTGTCATTTCTAAGCCGCTCGTCCGACAGCTGCAGCAGCAAATTATTCCAGAAAAATATTTATTGGTAATAAGCGTGATAGTGCGATTTTTTTTATTTGGCTTGAAAACCACAAGTGGCTATCGTTAGAGCACTCCAGCATTTAAATGTGAATAAATATTTTGTGTCTCGGACCATCGCTTGTTACTGTGATACTGGTAGTGTAGCCCGACGTCAAGGAAGTGGACGGAAGAAAACAGCAACATTAGCAGAAATGGTTCGAAAAGTAAAGAAGCTACTTATCGAAACCTGTCGCGTCGAAGTGGCCAACAAATGGCTCGTGAGCTGAACATATCGCAATATTCCATTCGGTAAATATTGAAAAATAAGCTCGGGCTAAAGCCATTGAAATTCCAAAAAGTACAAGAACTTACACCCCAACAGAAAGAAAATAGACCAAAAAAAGCTAAAGAGTTGCTTCGCTTGGCCGAAAGTGGTGAACTGTCGAATTTGGGTTTCTCCGTCTCCGATAAGAAAACATTCGTTGTCCAGCCGTTTTGTAAACGAAACAAAAAGATCGTGTTTACTTGCCAAAGTGGTCAGCTGAAAATGTGCACCTTCGGTTGGCCACCAGAACTCAAGCGCCGGCCATGGTGATGCTGTAGGCCGCTATAACAGCTGATGGTCACTCTCCACTCGTATTAATCGACCGTGGCATCAGAATAAATGCTGAATATTATCGCGAAAATATTCTGGAGGGTGTATTAAAGCCTTGGGCACGCAAATATTTTGGCCGCAGACATTGGACATTCCAACAGGACTCAGCACACGCCACCCAAGAATGGTTATAAAATGAGGTTCCTCGCTTCATTTTCAGCGCACAATGGCCACCAAAATCTCCGGATACCCATCAGTTGGACTATTATCAAAGAAAAAAATACCAAAGTGTCGATCACCTAATGCAAGCGTTTCGCCGGGAATGGCCTAAAATACCGCAGAGCAACATTCACTCATCGTGTGACGGTTTCATTGGCCGTTTGAAGGCCCTAATTCATGCCAAAGGTGACCAATTCTAACAAATCTAAACTTATTCTAAAATTTGATGCTATTTCCAACATTTTTTGCTTTCATTCAATAAAATTAAAAAAAATTTAAAAATTATGGCGTTTGACTTTGTTGCAGTTTTTTTTTATCTCACCCTACATATTCATTAGTCTATGCCTAAACTTTTATTGCCCCCACTCCCTCTCTCCAAAACCTTGTGGTTTTCAAAACCCCAATATACCGCTCTCATTTGGTACAGACTATAAAAATCTCTATATATAAAATAAATTGTTATAAATATGAAACATTTAGTGATTCATTTCAATACCATGTAGTTGATGTCTTCCACAATATGATAGAACTCTAACAAAACATTTAAAAAAATATTCATGTGACTGATAAAATTAAAAACAACTCAATTGTATAGGCATGCAAAATTATGATATTATCAGGAAAATGAACATGGTCAAATTTTACATGGAAATAATAGAACGAGGCCCAGATAACTAGATAAGGTCGACCAAGAAGACTGCTTTGAACAACAATTTGACAAAAAAAACTTATTATTTTGTGATTTGACTCTCGTGGAAGCTCAAATCACATTTAGGTGTTTTGACAGCAAACTAAGTTGTCAGATGGGCTTACTGGCCGATCTCATATCCAAATCTGAACCGATCTCGGTGAAATTTCGCAAAGGTATTTCTGAGTTGTTTTTGATATATTTCCCCAAATATCGTTGTTACAGAGTGCATATTACGGCTGCGTAGGACAACAAAAAAAACAAATCGAATGAACAATATATATGGGAGCTATAGCTTTATCTGAACCGATTTCTATCAAATTTGGCATACGTGTTTTCAGGCCTAATCTGGTAGTATGTGCAATATTCCATCCTATTTGGACAAATATTACACGCTTGTTGCTCAATATAAGGCAAATCGGACGAAGCTATATCCAATTCTGAACCGGTCTCGATAGAATTTGGCAAAGGTATTTCTGAGTTGTATTTGATATATTTCTCCAAATCGTTGCTTCAGAGTGCATACTAGGGCTGCGGAGGACAAAAATAATAAGTCGGATGAAAAATATATATGGGAACTATAGCTATATCTGAACCGATTTCGATCAAATTTGACATACATATTTTCAGACCTAATCTGGTTGTAAGTGCAAAATTCCATTTTATTTGGGCTAATATTACACGTTTGGTGCACAATATAAGGCAAATTGGACGAAGATATATATGGGAGTTATATCCAAATCTGAAACGATATCGATAGAATTTGACAAACGTATTTCTGAGCTGTATTTGATATACTTCCACGAATATCGTTATTAAAGAGTGCATATTATGGGTGCGGAGGACAACAATAACAAATCAGATGAAAAATATATATGGGAGCCATAGCTATATCTGAATCGATTTCGATCAAATTTGGCATACTTGTTTCTAGACTCAATTTGGTTGTAAATGCCAAATTCCATCCTATTTAGGCTGATATTACACGTTTGGTGCACTATATAAGACAAAACGGACGAAGATATGTATGGGAGCTATATTCAAATCTGAACCGATCTCGATAAAATTTAGCAAAGGTATTTCTGAGTTGTATTTGATATATTTCCCCAAATATTGTTGTTACAGAGAGCACATTACGACTGCGGAGGACAAAAATAACAAATCGGATGAAAAATATATATGGGGGCTATAGCTATATCTGAACCGATTTCGATCAAATTTGACATACTTATTTCTAGGCTCACTTTGGTCGTAAGTGCCAAATTCCTTGCCATTTGGGCTAATATTACACGTTTGGCGCACAATATAAAGCAAATCGGACGAAGATATATATGCGAGCTATATCCAAATCTGAACTGATCTCGTCAGAATTTGGCAAAGGTATTTCTGAGCTGTATTTGATATTGTTACCCAAATATCGTTGTTAAAGAGTGCATATTATGGGTGCGGAGGACAAAAATAACAAATGGTATTAACAATATATATGGGAGCTATAGCTATATCTGAACCGATTTCGATCAAATTTGGCATACTGTTGCTAGACCCAATTTAGTCGTAAGTGCCAAATTCCACCACATTTCGGCTAATATTACACATTTGGTGCACAATCTAAGGCAAATCGGACGAAGATATATATGGGAGCTATATCTAAATTTTGACGGATTATCTCCAATTTCAATAGGGTTCGTTCTTGGGCCAAACAAATTATTTGTGCCAAATTTTCTCTGGATCGGGCAATAAATGCGACTTGTACTTTCTTGTGAATGTGATTCTATGCAGATCATCAAAAGGAACTATGGGTTCTATCTCCTTTCCTTTGCCTGTTACAAACAAATGCACAAAGACATAATACCCTGACCATCTTGTGGTGTAGGGTATAAAAATGAAGAAACGGTCGCAGAAAGTGATTTAAGCCTCATTCAAATATCTTCTTTCCGGTAAACTTTGCACGTGTGAATAGGGATATAAGAACTTTAATGGGTTTATGTGCACAGACAAACTTAATTAGTCTGTGTATATTTTATATATTATTTAAAACATTTAAGTGAAAAACGCCCATTTTTTAAATGAATGAGGCAATTTCTTTCTAAGAAAAAATTGAATTTCTTTCATGAAACTATATTTCTTTCATGAAACTTAGATGTTAGATTACAGGTCGCATTTTACTTATTTCTTTTATGATCTGGTGCGCTTCTACTCGTTATGGGTCCATTTTAATCAAAACTACGTCTGAACGTTTTAGTTTTTGACTGCCAATCTTAATTCTATGACTATTTCCGCCAAGTATATTTAATTAAATGCAATTTAATAATTAGCTGATAAGGTTATCAAATAAAATTTAACATATTTCCTCTTTGAGCTTATATCACCATTAATATACATTTAAATAAAAACTAGCACATACGTAGCTTTCTCTAGACTTAGAATGCATGTTCGAAATCATAAACAACCAACCCATACGACCTTTAAAGCTTCAACCACAAAAAGGTAGGTTGGTAGGTAGGTGTGTGTATTATATGCACCGCATTGCTTGCGTTCAGGCACTTTTAAAACATTGACAACAACAACAACCACAAAACAAACATATTCTAGATATGAATTTATTATTTATATGCACTCTCGAGTGTGTCTCTTTAAAATTCTTGGAAAACAGACGACAACATCGTATATCCCCTCCGAAATACGTCATCGTCATAATATCCACTTTCTTCATACGCCACACACAACAATAATCAATTAAAGCAATAAAGAAAATATTTAATTATTGTATTTTAAAATACAAACAATAAATAAAAAAACACACACACACATAGATATGCCTACTCGGTGCATTCACTTACATTTGCGAACGTTTATCCAGATCCAAAGCGTTGTTTGCAAAATAATAATAGAGACCGGCTCCACAAATCATTGCTAATATTACAAATTTCACATAATGATAACGTAAACGACCGATGCGTAAACGCATTTTGTACAGTCCAATTTGATTGGATTTGTTGCGAAATTAAAGGATTTGTAAGGATTATTCTTTTGTTTCTTCGATTTTGGCCAATAATGGATTTTTTACGGCAACGACAAGCGAGGAGACGTGGGCTGGGAGAAAATCTATTTGTTTACTAAATTTTATCCAAGTGTTGCCATATGAAATGCCATCGTTTTTGCATGCCATTTATTTGGGGTGGTAATGCCTTGTATGTCAGCTGTTGTGTTATTAACGGAAAGCAAGGAAAGTGAACTAATAGCCCGAATTTAACACACCGTTACCCTGTCCAAAGCATTCTGGCTTATTTAAATTGATTGCATTGCATTTAAGCACATTGGCATGATGAATTTCGTACATCGTTATATGTATCCAATCACTTATGCTAGGAACACAATTGGAGCGAACGACGAATTTTTTCGCGGCGTATGTTCGTCGTCAAAAATAAAACACATATGTGTATATGGAAGTGCACACAATCACGGCACCGGCGAAAATTTCGTCGGTCGCCGCGAACTCAATTAGCTTTATTTCTATTTCATACGCCGGCGACCGGCGAACAAAACAGTACAAGGTGGCCATACTTGTACGAATTTTATGTGTTTTAGTAAATAAAGTTACTTTTTACTTTAAAATTTGTTATGGTCACTCTACTATCTGTTACTCGTATAAAAAAAACATAATTAATTTGTTTATTTATTTGAGTACTTGCGCCTGAGTGAAGATGGATATCAGTGAATTTATAATAGAGAAGATGGACATAAGTGAAATTATAACAGAGAACGTAAAGAATTATGTGTTCTTGTATAATTCATTGTAGTCAACAAATGAGCAAAAAGTAAACAACTTCATCAGCTGTTTTATAATTTCGTCGGTATTGTGTTCCATACGACGAATTTTCGCGGCTCATTTTGTCGCCGCGTAGGGCGAAATTCGTCGTTCGCTCCAATTGTGTTCCTAGCATTATTGTGGATTTCGGCACACAGGAGACCTTAACGAACTTCTCGCTTTAAAAACCCCCATATTTTTTTCACATATTATCGACAGCTTCATAATAAATCCACAAAAGAAATTCGCACTCTTTCCTTCTTCATTTGAAAAATAACTACTATTTATTGATTCATTCAACACATCTTCTCATATATCACATTTTAAAATTCAATGTCTTCAGTTTTGTTTTTTTCTTTTCTTTCGTTAAATTCTTAATTACTGCTGCTACTTCAAAAAATAACAATCCATCATCTAATCAACATTTTTTCTAAATTTCTTATAGAAATATTCACTAATAACAGCTATAAAATAAACTATACCAACGGCTATAAAATAAAACGCATATACTGTAAATTGTCCTTTTGTACTGAGTGCAAAACCATTTTCCGATATAACAACCAGTGTTAGGATGGTCTGGAATATTAATGCCAACATTGTGTTGATGCCGAAGACCAAACCGAAACTTTCTTCTTCCAGATAGCGGGCCACCTCAGCGCTATAGAGAAATGGATACGCAACAAAAATTAATAAAGAAAATATTCAAATTTTTCAGATGTACATACCCAGCCACTGTTATAATGAAACCATAGATGGCTCCAAATAGTATATAACCCGCATAGGATACATATATATTATATGTCCAACAGATCATTAAGACAGTGCCACCCTCAAGCATTGATAGGGCGGCCAATACCAGTAGACTTGTGTGTGATTGCAGGCGTCCAGCATGAATGTAACCAGCAAATAGGGCAAATAATGCCGCCAAGGCCGTGAAGGCAGCATCGACAGCTCCATTCCAGGAAACCTAGAAAGAGCGGAAGAGTAAAATAAAAAACAAACAATATATTGTTGTTCAAATAGACTAATATGTATGAGGGTTTTAAAAAATACCTATTTAAAATCTTCTATTCCAAGACGACCTTTAGAATGTATTTTCTTGTAAAAGAACCTTCCCAGATTTATATCTTTGGAGCCCTTTTTTTGCAGAGGACCTTTCTCAGAACATCCTTTCGTAGCGGAGTTTCTAGAGACACGTTTGTTTATAGAATATCTCTTCGAAGTGTTCATTCTGCTAAAACATTTATCATTCCAATGAGATCTTTTAAGGGGGATTCTTATAGAAGACCTACTAGAGGTCTTTCTGCAAAAAATGATTTCTAGAAACTTTTTCCGAAACAGATCTTTTTTAGTTTTTCTTTCCTGCTATCTGAGGGAAGAAATTGCCTTTTTTCTAATGAACATCTCCTTGAGAGGTTCTGTATTCTGTAGAAAACCTTTTTCACCGAAAGAGATCTTTAAGTTTTTTCTTGCAGAAGGCCTTAAAAAGTGGTCTATAGTTAGAAAACATTAAAAGTGGTCGATGGCAAGAAGGCATCAAGCGCCTTCTATAAAGAAAATGCCTTAAATGCCTTCAATGGAGCCTTGAAACTATCAATTCAAAAAGACTCGGATTTTCTATTCGCCAAAAATTTCTAAAGAAAATATTACCGATAACAGTATTTTCTTTTTGGAAATATTATCGATAACAACATTTTCTATGGAAAATATTCTCGATAACAATAATTTATATAGAAATGATTATCGATAACAATAATTTTTATAGAAAATATTGTCGATAACTATATTTTCTGTTGAAAATATTCTCGATAACTATATTTCCTATTGAAAATATTATCGACAACAATATTTCCTACTGAAAATATTATCGATAACAATATTTTCTACTGAAAATAATATAGATAAGAATAATTTCTATAGAAAATATTATCGATAACAATATTTTCTATAGAAAATATCATCGATAACAATATTTTCTATAGAAAATATCATCGATAACAATATTTTCTATAGAAAATATCATCGATAACAATATTTTCTATAGAAAATATCATCGATAACAATATTTTCTATAGAAAATATCATCGATAACAATATTTTCTATAGAAAATATCATCGATAACAATAATTTCTATAGAAAATATAATCGATAACAATATTTTCTATAGATAACAATATTTTCTTTAGAAAATGTTATCGATAACAATATTTTCTATAGAAAATATTATAGATAAAAATATTTTCTATAGAAAATATTATCGATAAAAATATTTTCTATGGAAAATATTATCGATAAAAATATTTTCTATAGAAAATATTATCGATAAAAAATATTTTCTATAGAAAATATTATCGATATTTTTTTTATAGAAAGAAAACATTATTTTCCATGGAAAATATCGATAACAATATCTTCTATAGAAAATATTATCAATAACGACATTTTCTATGGAAAATATTGTCGATAACAATATCTTCTATAGAAAATATTGTCGATAACAATATCTTCTATAGAAAATATTGTCGATAACAATATCTTCTATAGAAAATAATATCGATAACGATATTTTCTATAGAAAATATTACCGATAACAATATTTTCTATTGAAAATATAATCGATAACAATATTTTCTATTGAAAATATAATCGATAACAATATACCGATAACAATAAGTATACCTAGGATGGAAGGCTGTAAAGGCCTCAATAAACATTTGAAATGCATTGCTTGCTTGGACCAAATACTGAAAGTCTTCCAAAGTACTCTCATTTTTAGGAGTCACTTTTGAGTTGTTCTATTTCGAAATTCGCAAAGACTCCTAAAGGTTTGAGAATGTCTAGAAGATCTAAAAGGTCGGCTAGATGACTTCAAATTCCTCTATTTAAATTTGGAAGTTATTGCTTAATTGGACGACATATTGAAAGACCTTTAAAGGTCTCTTATTTATATTTGTTTCCTTTGCTTTCTTCTATTTCCGAAGTCTTCTCAGAAGACCCTTTTGAAGTGTTTTAAATGTCAACTTTTACTTACATCTGGATTTGGTTCAATATCTTTCCACATCAGCTGGACGTAAGAGATCACTTGCAAATAACCACACAAACCGACCGCATACCATATGGACCATTGTACCACTTTCAAGTTCGTATAGGCATTGGTAAAATGTTGCCACAGCAGTTTGGCGCCAATTGGGGTTTTTGTGACAATATTTGTTACCGAATTAAATTGAAATTTGTCTGTCGTTGTATCGCTAGTCTGTGATTTGCCATCTTCACAGGAACTACGTTCCAAAGAGTCCGTTGACTTGAGTGCAGGTACTTCTTGATTATTAACTTTACGATGAAAATATAAACTTTGATGGACCGGGGGTAGGGTAAAGGCCCACAATGTGGCTACGATTTGAGCTGAAAATGAAGGAAGGGAAAATTAAATTAGAAATGATTTTTGAAATTAATTTTCTGTAAGAATTCTAGAAATATCAAAAAGTATGGCAGATACTGAAAAAGGCAAAGTTGTTTTCCACCACTCACTCACCTCCCAGAGTAATGTAATTGAGGTCCCTGTAATCCATGAGATCAAAATATAAGAGGGCTTGTGCCATCAAACTGGCCACCAGTTTACCGGCAAATATTGCCGCCCGGGTATGTGACGTCACCCGGGGATAATATTTCTTATCAACTTTTGCATAAATATAGGTGTAATAGGCCACCTCAGCTGCCATATAAGTACCATAGAAGAATTCTAAGGTCATCAGAGCCTCTAGCGAGGTTGTCCACAACAGCATACTCCATACTATTATGCCGGTAACGCCGATTGTTATAATTAGAGGTTTGTATCTAAAATGAGGGAAATTATTAAATTTTATGATTTTTTTGCATTTATTTATGATTGTTGGTGTTGTTGTTGTTGTTTTAACTTACAGTAAAAAATCTGTTATAAGGAACACTACAATTAATTGTGCTAAGTACGAATATGTGCCCATAGGATAGACTTGACGATTCAACTGGAAAAAGATAAAACAAAAGAAAATTAATATTTAGGTTGAGTATAAAATTACAGATAGACTAGGTTAAAATAAGGAACCTCCTATGCAGAACACCCCAGAAATTCCTGACACATCTGAAAAAGTCTTATACTCCGAAAAAGACTTACTTATACTTCATCTAATCATCGCCCCTTTGTGGGGGAGGTACCAGAAGAAATGGTCCGACCTGTATTATCTTTATAACAGATATTTTGTAGATGGAAATTTTGAGATGTGCCAAATCTGAATGGAATCAGATGTTAATTTCGTGTTTTAGGTGCTTCATGAATATTCAAAACTTTGACCCTTTGTGGGAGAGGTACCAGAAGGAGTGAACCGATATATCCCAATATCACACCAGACCTTGGGTTAGTAAAAATATTGCGATGTGTGTAATTTGGAGAAAACCGGATGCTTATTTCGGATTTTATGATCGTTTTGGTTATTCAAAACTTTGACCCTTTGTGTGGGAGGTACCAGAAGGATTGGGTCGATCTCTACCATCTTTATAACAGATATTGTGTTGATGAAAATATTGAGATGTGCCAAGTCTGAATGGAATCGGATTTCAAATTCGCGTTTTATGAGCTTCAAGGATACTCAAAAAGTTGACCCTTTGTGAGAGGTACCAGAAGGAATGGGCCGATCTCTACCATCTTAATAACAGATCTTGTGTTGATGAAAATATTGAGATGTGCCAAGTCTGAATGGAATCGGATATTAGTTTTGTGTTTTATGAGCTTCATGGGCGTTCAAAATTTTGACCCTTTGTTGCGGAGATACCAGAAGGAGTAGACCTATATATTCCATTTTCACACTAGACCTTGGGTTAGTAAAAATATTGTGATGTCTGTAATTTGAAGACAATCGGACCCTTACATCACATCTTATAAGTGTTATAATTATTCAAAATGTTGACCCTTTGTGGGGCAGGTACTTGATGGAGTTGACCGATTTTGTCCATTATCGCACCTGTCCTAGCACTAATAAAAATATTAGGATTTGCAAAGTTAGAGCAAAATTGGATTATCCTATCTCTTTCTGTACCGTAAATTATTTTCTTAGAAAATGTTGACATTTTGTGGGGGATGTACCAGAAGGAGTGGACCGATATTACTCATATTCGACCACAATCTAAGTTTGACAATAATATTACGATGTACCAAGTTCGAATCAAATCGGATACTCCCTTCAAGAGTTATTGGGCCCACCAGCAAGCCAGACAGGCAGACAGACGGACGGACATCGCTAGATTGACTCCAAATGCCCTGAAACGGATTTGGTTCAAAGAGACCTAGGATCTACAACCGTGAGGCATGTTTTGGCCGTATCAAATAATATAGGGTGTATTTTATTTGATACGGCCAAAATATGCCTCCTCCTCTTCAATGTTGCCATGCTGCCCCATTTAGAAAACAAACATCCTAATTATAAATTGAATTATTGACATAGTCACTGGGAATATTTCATTTTTTTTTAACTAATCTGACGGAGCAATGTTTGCGAAACCCAAACACAAAAATCTACAGTCTGATGATGATAATGTGATTAATTTATATGAGGTATTTCTCCTTCAATGCATCTTACTTTTATATTGATATAATACAAAATAGGCAATAATTGCATGTGTATTCAAAAGTTGAATAACTTATCAGATGTCGGGTAATACAATCATATAAATGCGTATTTTTTACCATGCATTTAATGGGTATATCATCAGCAAATATGGCTGGCAAAATTTTGATTGATTTTTTTCTTTTTTAGCCAAAAATAGAATCTTGTAAAAGCTTGATTTATCGCCAAATCGGAAAACTACCCACACTTTTCAACAAAAATAGAAACTTTATTTATGGCCAAATCGGAAAACTACCCACTGACATCCCAAAATATCAAATTTTAAATCCGGTTTTTAACTAAAAAGTGAACATTCCTTGAATATTTTTTACGAGGAGTTAAAATGCCTCCCTGAGAGCTCGGAAACCGAAAATTCATCTGTTTTGGTTGAAAAGTAGAGCCGAGAACCTCGAAATTTTAAATCAGGGATTTACATTTATGGGGTCTATACTAAAAAATTAACCTTCCATGAATATTTTTTTGCGAGGAGTTAAAATGTCCCCTGAGAGCTCGAAAGCTCAAAATACATGTGTTTTTTGGTTAAAAAATAGAGCCGAGACCCTTAAAATACCGAAAATCAGGAGGTATTGTGATATGGTGCCTATACCAAAAAGTGGACCGAAATTGAATATTTTTGCGAGGAGTAAATGAAACTACAAACAACCCAAAACGTCGAATGACAGCTGTTTTGGTTGGAATTCGGGGCCGAAACCTTTAAAACACCGGAAATACTAAGGTACCATTATATCTTATACTTATATCCAACAGCGGAGCTACAGGGTGAGATGAAAAACTGCAACCATCTTCAGAATGCTGTCATTTTTAAGCCACTCGTCCAACAGCAGTTAAAATTATTCCAGAGACAGCTCATTATATTGTTTACAAGCGCACAAAAGCATTTTGGTGAGAATTTTCCAGAAAAAAAGTTATTCGTGATGGAATTCAAGCGTGATAGTGTGATTTCTTTATATTTGGCTGGCGAACCATAAGTGGCTATCGTTAGAGCACTCCGGCATTTAAATGTGAATAAATCTTTTGTGTCTCGTACCATCTCTCTTTACCGTGATAATGGTAGCGTAGACCGACATCAAGGAAGAAAACGGCAACATCAGCAGAAATGGTTCGAAAAGTAAAGAGGCGACTTGATCGAAACCCGCGTTGCAGTGGCCGAAAAATGGCTCGTGAGCTGAACATATCGCAATATTCCATTCGGCAGCTATTGAAAAATGAGCTCGGGGTAAAGTCATTGAAATTCCAAAAAGTGCAAGAACTTAGACCGCAAAGGAAAGAAACAAGACTCAAAAGAGCTAAAGAGTTGCTTCGCTTGGCTTGGCTTGGCTTGACTCAAAAGACCTAAAGAGTTGAAGGCGGTGAACTGCTGAATTTGGTTTTCTCTCTCTCCCCGGTGAGAAAACATTCGTTGTCCAGCAGATTGTAAACAATCAAAATGATCGTCGTGTTTACTTGCCAAAGAGGTCAGCTGAAAATGTGCACCTTCGGCTGGCCACCAGAACTCAAGCGCCCGTCATGGTGATGGTGTAGGCCGACATAACAGCCAATGGCCGCTCTCCGCTCGTATTAATCGACCGTGGCATCAGAATAAATGCCGAATATTATCGCGAAAAAAATATTCTGGAGGTTATAATAAAGCCTTGGACACGCAAACATTTTGTCCGCAAACCTTGGATATTCCAAAATGACTCAGCATCTTTGCACTCAACACGCGCCACCAAAGAATGGTTCGGTTGGCCACCAGAACTCAAGCGTCGGCCATGGTTGTTGTTGTTATATCAGAGTATATGCAAGTGTTTGCGATCTGCTAATCTGGTTCCAGCTTCAGGTTCAGAAATTCGGCTATTTCAGTGGGCTGTAGCCAGAGATCTTCTGGAGTGAGTTGGGTAGATTTGCCTGTGCAATTAAAGATGTACATTTTTGTGCCGGCCATGGTGATGGTGTGGGCCGCTTAAACAGCCAATGGTCGCTCTCGGCTCGTATTAATCGACCGTGGCAACAGAATAAATGCCGAATATTTTCGCGAAAATATTCTGGAAGGTGTATTAAAGCCTTGGGCACGCAAACATTTTGGCCGCAGACCTTGGACATTCCAACAGAACTCAGCATCACCGCACTCAGCACGCGCCACCCAAGGAATGGTTACAAAATGAGGTTCCTCGCTTCATTTCCAGCCCACAATGACCACCAAAATCTCCGGATACCAATCCGTTGGACTATTGTGTCTGGAGTATTTTAGGAAGCAAGGTTGTCACTAAAAAATACCAAAGTGTCGATCACCTCAAGCAAGCGCTTCACCGGGAATGGGACAATATACCGCAGAGCAACATTCGGGCAGCGTGTGACGGTTTCATTGGCCGTTTGAAGGTCATAATTCGTGCCAAAGGTGACCAATTCGAACAAATCTAAACTTATTCTTAAATTTGATGTTATTTCCGACATTTTGGCGTTTGACTTTGTTGCAATTTTTTTTATCTCATCCTGTATATCTGAACCGATTTTCACTAAATTTGATATATTTTCTTCTAAACTGAATTCGGTTGGATGTGCTAAAATTCAAGTCATATGAACTTATTTTGGCCATTTGGTGCACAATTAACCCAAAATCGATTGAAGATATATGGGAGCTAAATCCTATCCGATTATCACCAATTTCAATAGGATTTGTCCTTGGGCCACAGAAATATTGTTTGGAAAATGTCATCTAAATCGGATAATAAATGCGACCTGCATAACGGATAATAAATGCGAACTGCTTTTTGTTCGCTAAAAAACGTGGACAGACGGACTGACATGCATAAATCCACTCAGTAAGTGATTCTAGGAAGATCCTCAAAAGTACCCATGGGTCTATCGCTCTCGCTTCCTTCTCTATGTTACAAACATATGCACAAAGACTATGTGGTGTAGGGTATAAAAAAGTTAATGACAGCCTAAACAAACAAACTCCTAAGTTCCTTATACTCTCAGTCAAAAGTCGTAGCTAACTTTGGTAAAATGGCTAAGCCGATTTTAATTGCTTGAAATTCCACTAATGTATGTTTGGTTTCCCACTCTGAGCTTCATGCTGACAAGATTGAATCATCAGGATTTAGATCTATATACGTTTGCATTCTGAAAACCCCGATTATCCCTAAGAAGGCTTTCTTTAATAAGACAAGAATATATCTTCATCGGAGCTATATTGTAACCCACACCGGTGTTAATATCGGGTTTGTTAGCCATTACCCCATTTTTTTTTTTCAAAATTCCACAAATAAGTCCTGATGCTTTCTTCCTTATTACCCATTATCTAAATTTATAGGCGGCACTACCTTATTTCCAATAGAAAAATATTTGAAAAATTAATTTCCACTATTCTTATCAAAAGTTAAAAATCAAATACTCCACTTACCTCATCTTCCGTTACATTACGCCATGGTCCAGCCAAAAATTCCGTAATATAGGGTTCGGATGGTCGCAGTTCACGTACAAATCCAAAGATACACAATAGACCGGATATTTTCTTCCACTCCAACATCTTGAGGCGATCTTCGAAACTGGTCGTTTGTGCTTTGTCAATCAATTATTAACTACTAAAGGGTTGGGATTTGTTTGGTGTTTGTTGTGTGTGTGTTTGGGTGTATGGGGTTCGCTTTAGTTTCTTCTTTTTGAAATTTTAATTGATTACAAACGGAAAAAATAGAATTTCATAACGGCCAATAAGACGAAATATGAAAATAAAGCAGCGGGCGAAGGCGACAGCAACGGCTGGCTATTGCCACAAAAGAACTGGAAGATCTAATGCACTTGACACTTGTTTATTTAGCAAGTTAATGTGAACTTTTATGGGGGTAAGTATATGTTCCTTTTGTTGTTGTTGCTGGTTATCACCTTCCCGAACCTAATACAATTTGGTGTGTGCTAAAAGCGGCGGGAATCATTTGTCACGGTGTGTTTTTCTTTTAACATTGACTAGCTTGAATTTCTCATAAGACCCAAATAGTTGGTCTTAATAACACCAACACCCACCGACGGAAAGATACTGCCGCCAAGTGGTTTCCTTTCCTTTACTTATTTTTGTTGCTCGGAGACTTGCAAACTCTTTAGCTTAGTTACTTATCTAATCGTTTGTTGTTTTTATTGTTGTTGTCTTAGTCGGTCGTTTGTACAATTGCTTGGCTATTAATCGGCGGCGTAGCAGACGACGAGTTGTATGGCCATATATTATATTCTTAACTTTTTTTCGGTTATAAACAATACCGATTTCACGTGAATCTTTTTAATAAATTCGTGTAGAGATATGTAACCTTTATTGTTGTTGTTCCAGTTATTAATCGCTGCATCATTTTTGTTGTGGAATACTTGATTTGCAGACTTTTTGATTGATTATCATCATCCTCATCATCAGATATCACGCGTTTTCCCTCCTTTCCATTTTCAATGTCATCGGTTCATTTATTATTTGCCAGCTTCTTAAAGAGTTAACACCAATAGAATATAAATGACAATCTATTGCAAATATTGAAGTAAATTCAAAACAATTTAATTTTGGCCACACAATTCATCAAAATAAACTCAATTAATTAGGATATTTATTAATTTAAAAGAATATATATCAATCAGTCTTATTTGGCAAATGAGAGAAAAAAAACGATCAAAACAAACTGCCTGCTTGTTATGACATGCGACGTACCATGCCTGTCGTTGTAGGCTTTGTTGTTGCTGTACAAAAAAATTACAGCCATATGATTTTAAGTGTTGCCAATGTGCCACCGAAATTCTTATAAGATTCATGTCACCTAGGTCTGAAGTAGAGTACACACTATCAATTACATTAGTTTGAAGACTCATTCCATGGTAGAAGAATATAGATAGACGCATGGTACAAAGAATTCAAGGTAGGGCAGAACTACCATATGATTTAATTTTTTTAATTTTTCTGGGTTAATATGTCAACTTCATTTGCTTATGTGTGTGTCTTCTTTTCAATAATAAAAAATTGTTCAGAAAATATTCAAATTCGGGTGTTTTCAAAATGCTTATTGCAACGAATGCATCGACAAAATTTACAGTTTTTGTCGCGAAATAAACCATAAAAGATATGTAGAACATGATATTGAAAAAAAATGTTGACCATTCATTCAGTTTTCGCGGTTTTAAATTATTTGTTCAAAATCAATGCAACAAGTTGTTTGCTTTTTTATTGTTTTGATAGTAATTCTGATATTACAAGCCAAACAGGTAGACCTCTATACTTGCAATTTTTTCAAAGTTGGCCTACCTTCTCTTCATTGTACCATGGATAGACGCGTCGACACAGCTGCTGAGACAATGAAATGTCAAACCAATTTTAAAATTAAAAAAATGGACCAAAAAGTATTTAAATTTGTAAATATTTTCGAAAACGTTTATTATAATAACCTCACAAACAAATAAAAATCTACTTATATTTGAAAAGACATTTAAAATATTTTGACATATCAATGTTCCCAAGTACATCTACCTGTACTCTTCTACCATGCATTATACCATCCATCCATGGTAATCGCTGTTGGGACAATGAGCTGTCAAAGCAATTTAAAAATTGAATATTTTGAATGAGAAATTATTCAAATTCGTTAAAATTTTTGAAAATTGCGTATCATAACAACCTTCTATTGGTGTGCAGGGTGAAGAGTTGTTTCGCTTGGCCGAAAGTGGTGAACTGCAGAATTAGGTTTTCTCCGATGACGTTGTCCAGCAGAGCAAGGTTGGCACTAAAAAGAATCAAAGTGTCGATCACCTCAAGCATGCGCTTTGCCGGGAATGGGCCAAAATACGGCAGAGCAACATTTGGGCAGCGTGTGCCGGTGTCATTTGCCGTTTGAAGGCCATAATTCGTGCCATAGGTGACCTATTAGAATAAATCTAAACTCATTCTAAAATTTGATGCTATTTCCGACATTTTTTGCTTTCATTCAATAAAATTTAAAAAATGTAAAAATTATGGCTCATGACTTTGTTGCAGTTTTTTATACACCCTGTATAATAATCAGAAATGGGAATCTTTTTCCAACGTTTGGGAATATTAATATGCCAGTGTTGCAAAAACGTTTTGTCAAAAATAAGTAGATTTTTATATGTTTTCTTATAAATCTCAAAAATTGGAGGTAGTTATAATATGCATTTTTCAAAAAGTTTCACAATTTTCAATAATTTTTCATTCAACATTTTCACTTTTTGAAAATTGGTTTGACAGTTCATTGTCCCAGCTGGTGTGTCCTGTATTCCTTCTACCATGCTTTTTTCTATGCATTGACATTTGACAAGGAAAATTACAGAAAATGCAGAGATGGATATGTCTATTTGAAATGACTTTATGTTTATGTTATTCCCAGCTCTGCATTTTTTGTAATTTTCCTTGCCAAATTTTTATGCATAAAAAACAGTTCCCATCTCTGCTTTCGTGTGTACACAATGGATTTATGAATAAAGATTTTGACAATGATTAAATGCATAAATTTAAAAAAAAATGTAAACATATTTATTTATTTATTTATATTCAATTAACACAGTTACCTAGCCCCTAGGGCCATGGACGGTTCCAAAAACTTCTATACATAACTACTCTAATATGATAACATGACTACACCTTCTTCATTCTACCATGATTTTACCATGGTCCTCATGCCTACACAGAAGAGCCCGCATCAATTGGCGCATTGGAAGACAAAATTTAAGCATTTATTTGTGAGATATCGGCCAAATTAGATTAGGTGGATAAATAATTTAAGGCACATTTGCTGTTGCTGAAATAATCTTAAAATATTCAATTATATGGACTTTACTATAAATATTCCATGCATTTTTCTGAATTTTATGTTTTTCAGCCTAGAATAGCTTTATTTTACCTCCCGTTATTGTACCATGATGTAACCGTTCAACAAAATATCAAATGTCATCAATTCTAGGTGATTAACAAAATCCCCGGGTTATCATTTTAATGCGATTTAGCAGAGACCCCATTGAAACTATCGATAATTTCGAGAAAAGGAAAATATCGTTAATATCAATTAGACTATCGATTGTTTGCCAGCCCTAGTTCATTATTGAAACAAATCTTCTCGAGGAAGGTTGTCGTTCTCGGAACGCTGTTTTGTTTCTTGTACGGGACTTGTAACTTGTGTGTGAAAGAAAAATAAATACACAAGAAACTACAGCAAATAAGAAAAAAAACATCCAGTGTGTAGTAAAATAATTTCAAGAAGGAAAACAACAAAAAATAAGCGAATTTTTAAACGAAAAACAAAATCATTTACGAATTTGAAGTGTAACGAAATGGCAAAACCATCGTTTTTCTTTTCTTCTTAAAAAAAAATATATGTAATGTGAAAAAAAGAGGAAAGAAAGAAAGAAAAATAAAATATGTAAAAAAGCTACTACCTACAAGAAATGAAATCCAATTGAAAATCCTTTACCAAGAAGCTGAAAATAAAAGAAGTGTGTGTTGTGTGAGGTATTGAGAGAAGTTCGTTCGTTCGTTTTTTCTCATTTTTTTTCATATATATTTATTGATATGGAAAAGAGTGTGTGTGTTGCTATTTTAATGCTGCCTGCGTGAGCTAAAGAAGAAGAAAAAAAAAAATGATTGTCGAGATTTTTTTACGTCGCTGGCTTTTAGTAAAAATACACCGAAATGAATTGATAGATTTTATTCTAGTGGAAAACTTTGTGTGTATGTTGTGCAGAAAAGGAAGTATGTAAAACAAAAAAAAAAAAAAAAATGAAAGGAGAAAAAAAATAACATGAGTGCTTAGAATGTGTGGCTATTTTTTTTTCTTTCACTAGATGTTGTTGGTTAAAAGGGTGGCGGGCGGCGACACGACTAATATACGAATTGACTGACTAGAGAAGTTCTTCGTTAAAGAATGAGCTTGTTTAGTTGTGGGTGAGTGCCGCCGATTGCCTATAACAACAAAACAAATGCCGCAAGAAAATATTTGTGGGTAAGGCAGGCAGGCAGACAAACGTACGTACGTTTGCTGTGTTGTTGTTGGTGGGTGGGAGGAGGAGGGTATTTGGCTGGATCGTTCGTTGATTCGTGTATTTTGGAAATACAAAAATTTGCTCACTTCACAATTTTCTTGAATGAATGAATGAAAATGTTCTCGGCACTAAAACCAGCCAAGCAGCAAGCTATACAAAAGCTTCATTATGACGCTTTTGCTGTTGTTGTTGGTGCTGTTGATTGTGTATAGCCCGTTCTCACTGCTGGCTGGTCTGATGTGTGTGTGTGTGGCTGCCTGGCCTTTATTGTTTGTGTTGCTAGATATGATGATGGGAGTAAGCTCTATACACCTATGTGTATATACAACATTTTTATTTGTATTATACATACATAGGATTTTATATATGTAGGTATATGCATGTATGTTCCCATGTAACTTGGAATTATTTTTGTAAGAATAATAATAATAACGTGAAGAGGCTGCATTGGCGACGCAAGACGATGTCTAGTTGTGTGCATGCATATTCAAACTCTTTATTTTTATGCTCTCCCTCCCCCTTTAACATTACCTGTGCTCCATTTGCTTGGGGCCCACTTCTCTCTCTCTCACTACCTGCCTCGTGTATGTTTTTGCTCTCACTCTCCCAGTACATTACACACATACGTCAACAATGACCATGTTGTCGTTGTTGAACAACAACGACGACGACGTCGTTGTATGACACTGCTGCCGCCGCCGTCGCCGCCACCCACCCTTGACTCTGGGCTCCACACATCATCATTACCATCGTCGTCGTCGTCGTAGTCAACAACAACATATACTCGCGCAATACAACATGAACACGGTGCTTCGTTCATACACTCGTCGTTGTTTCGTCGTCGCGGCTTCTTCTTCTACTTCGTCGTCTTGTCAAATAAATTTCATTTAATTTCTGTTTTTCTTTTCTCAGTACAAATGTGTGCCTGCTGCTGCTCTTTCCGTCTGTCCGACTGACGACTGCCTGCATTTGTATCCAATAAGAAGAAATTTGCAAAAATTGCACTTTTTTCTTGCACATTCTAAACGAGCGAGCCAGAGTCAGTCAGAGTGGAGGAGTAAAATGAAAATGGAAAAATTGCACAAAAATCGTTGAGAAAACGGAAAATAATAAAACGGAAAATTGTGTAATAACAAATTGTGAAGAATTTTTCAAAGTGATGATGATGCTGTTGTGAAGAAAAAAATGTTTAAAAAAATGTATAATTAAAAGCAAAGAATAGCAAATTGAAAAAATAAACCACAAGAAAAGAGTAAAGTGAAGAAGAATTAAACACCACAGCAAGATACAATAACAACAAGCAGAAAAAAAAACTAATTTTTCTAAAGGTATTTGATTAATTGCACGACGGAGTTCAACTGGCTGTAAAAATAGAAATCCTGCAATTATTTGTATTTTGTTGCTGCTATCCATACTTTTGCGGTGCTGTTGGCTGTCCAGTTTCTAGAAAAAGGTTAGTGAATTTTTGCCCATCAACAAAAAAAAATGTGAAAAGATTAAGTAACAATTATTAGAATAAATTTCTTTTTTTTTTTTTGCAAAAAAATACACTATCCCATCCATCTAACAAGGGTTACCAACACCGCCCAACAAACACTTACAGGAATTACAACAAAAAAAAGTGTACCTTGTGTTCCTAGTGTAAACAAGCGGCGGCGGCATGGTTTGTTTACCTTGCCCGGCCCCCCGTTTTCCTTTGCAAAACATGGGTGGCATGGCAACCCTGGCATCTGCGCTGCGCTATGTTTTTCTTGTTGATGAAACGTTTTTATGTGTTGGCTGAGAGCAGTGCGGTGCGGTGGAGTGTGTGTGTTTGTGTGTATTATTTCATTCATATACACGCACAGTCAACCAGGCAGTCTCTTGCTTGCGTTGGGTTTTTTTTCTGCCTGATGATTGTTTTTGTTATTATTATTATTTCTCGTCGTCTTATTGATGGCTCGCGTGTATTCATTTGAGAGTGTGTGTGCAAGTGTGTGTTTTTGATTTTGTGTATATGTTTTTGTTTTTTTTTTCTCTGCTCAGAGCGCGCACCATCACCCAGCCCTCACTTGGTAACACTTGTCGTCTCACCGTACGCGGCACCGTTCACATTTACGTTATGCATCTTCGGCGCGGCAAACACCAAACGAGGAACAAATAAACATCATAGCTGCGACAGTAGAAAAATATGAAATTATACAAAAAAAAAAAAAAATAATCAAAATGTTGAATATGTAGATGTTTTTTATGGGCTTTGATTGATTTTCATCGAAATGAAATACAACAATGTCTCTCGCTCTCATTATGATGTTGTTCTGTATTTCTCCATTACAAATAAAGGGGGATATAGTGTTGACAATTTTGCGTTTATTTTCACAGATGACCATTTTTTTGGTGAACGGAAATTAAGTGCTTTTTGTTAATTTTAAAAATCCTACGGCTTTTTTATTGTCATGTTGATAGTTTTTAATAAGAATTAACATTTTGCGTTATTATTTGTGCGTACTTAACAAAAAAGAAATATGTATTAAGAGTGAAATTCGCCGAAGTAAAACTTAAAATATAAAAATGGAGAAAATTTTTCTATTTTAAGTTTTACTACCAGTTTTTTCGGGTACAACGCTAACACTTATCAGGGAAAGTATCTCAAAAATGGTTTTTGATTTTTACATATTCCGGAATAGATCTTATAATATACCTCAGGAAAAAAATCCATTAAAATCTGAGGGTTATTGAAATTTTTGATTAAATGAATTCAAACCCGTATTTATAAAACCTTGTGATTAAAAAATAAGCGTCGCTTTTAGTAAAAAACTTCCCTTGTGAAATTTTGTTTAGATTTCAGACAGACTTGCATAAAACCACCATTCTCTCGACTGGAGCTGAATAAGGGCTATTCGAATGCGCCCCTATGCTATTGCCACAGGCTAGCAGGTCCAAGGACCTCGAAATAACTTCTATCCTATGGTCTCTATAGATCGGTGGTACTTCGAAAGTAGTTCTATGCCTTGAGAAACCAAGCTAAAACCAAATCGATTGAAAAAAAGAACATCAAAAAAAGTTCGCTAAAAAAATCACCATTTAAAACAATCGGAGCTCAATATTCGAACGAATTCCATTTTTTCATTTTCATTTTTGAAAAAAATAAATAAAAAAAACTGTGTGAACTGTTGAAACAAAAAGGATAGCAGCTAAAAAATCACCAATTAAAAAAATCAGAATTTAATATTTGAGCGAATTCCATTTTTGTCATTGATTTCGGTTGGATATTGCAGTACAAATCGATGTCTTGCTACAGGTGTTGTTATCTAATGCGAGATTCAAATAAACAAATTTGAAAGCATTCTGCTGTAAACCAAAACCATCAAAGTTAAAAATATCGGAAGGTGCTGGCATAATCTTTTTTCACAGACCGCATGACCCATTGCAAAATCTGCGTACCGAATTTTTCCGTTGAAAAAAAAAATGGGCCAAAATAATCACAATATTGGAAATCAGAAGTACCGAGGTAGACGTTAGTGTTTTTAAGCAGTTAAAGAACGCGAAATTATTCAAAAATGAACCATTTCGGAAAATTATCTAAAAATGGACCATTTCGGAAGTGCCCCTCTAAATTTTTAAATTTTTGGTTTTGTCACAAGCAGAAAAATTTCCAATGAGTTGAAATCAAATAATTTTGAAAATGCACTAAAGTGGCCAAAATCATCAAAATATTGAAAATCAGGATACCGACGTAGACCGGAATAGCGCTCCAGCCCAACAGCCAAAAAATTTTGTGTTTTCAAGCAAAATGTTCTGTAATTATCTAAAAATTTTCCCTATGAGTTGAAATTAAAACATTTCGAAAATGCACGAAAGCTTTTAAAAAATTTTATAAAAACCAAGTCAAAAATTAATACCTTTGAATACGAACCATTCGAGTATATTTTTACAAAAACTGGTTGTTGTTTAATCTATCACCGACTTAGCCAGGGGCACGGGCCTTCTCCGAAATGACAATTTTTTTTAGATATTTTTAGGGCATTCTTCTTAAAAATCTCATTTTTAGTTCGATGGGTAGGATTTGTCTTTGCCATATCCTATAACAGTTCATTTTCAAATAATTATTATTCCCTCCCAAAATTCCTCAGCACTTTCACCATTTGATTCTGGCGTTTTTAATGCAAAAACTCATTAAAACTTTTTTTTTTTTGGCATTTTTTGAGTTGGCATTACCGTTTTTGCATAAACAGAGATTAATCATGCAGAACTTAAAAATAAACCGAAAAAATAGAAATGCTCTTGCGATTTTCAAAATAATGATGTTTTTATATGGCTTGTCCGAATATCAATCAAGTGATTGGAAAAATAAATTTATCCCTCAAATCAAAGCAAATTTTATCGAGATCGGTTCAGATATGGATATAGCTCCCATATATACCTTCGTCCGATTTGAGTTTGATTGTATACCAAACGTGTAATATTAGCCCAAATGGGAAGGAATTTGGCACTTATCACCAAATTGATCCGAGAAACAAGTATGTCAAATTTGGAGAAATTCGGTTCAGATATAGCTATAGCTCCCATATATGTATATTGTTCATCCGATTTGTTACATTTTTTACCTTTTATTTGTTATGTGAAGCTCAGCTAAATATGGAAGAGGTGTAGTGTATCATAAAGTCATTACCTCTACTTCTTCTCATTTATAATTATTTTGTCTTAAGTTATTGCCCACCACTACTTTCTAGGCATTTTTTCCCATTTATTTTATTTTGGCGTTTTCTATGCATAAACATGTCAAAATCACGTTCCATTGAGTTGACATCACATGTTCCATGACACTAGTCATTTGTAGTGGTTTATTTCCATTCGGTTACAATGTTGTGGTAACTGAGATAAATCCACCTGTTGCAAATATTTTTAATCTGTCCTTTATACTTCAATATATTTATATTAAATTTGTCTTTGTTGTGTCCGCAAATCTTTTAATTTATGAATAATTTGTCTTTATTTATTGCCCTTTCCAAATTCCCTAGTAATTTTCTCCATTTATTAAATTGTGGCGTTTTTTATGCAAAAATATCGAAAAATTGCATTTCGCGTTTTTTTTGAGTTGGCATCACTTGTTGCATCACACCAGTCATTTGTAGTGGCCCGTTTGTTTCCATTTGTTGGGGACTGCGTTGAGAGTACGTGAGAGTAGTCTCTGCTCTAATGTGTGAGAACAAAAATAATGAGCACTGAGTGTTGTTGCCGCTGTTGCCTCCTCTGCTCTGCTCTCCTCTTCGACATTGTAACAAAACGTCAGAACAAACATTTGTGTGGAGAATGGCAAACATTTTGCAAAGGAGCAAAAGTAATGAATGCAATTTTTATTTCATTTCAAATTCAAAAAAAAAAAAGATCTCACATTTTAGGACCTTTGTTTTCATCATAGCAACATTGCCGTTTTTGGTTGAATTTGCTTTGATATTTCAATGGGTTGTTGTGGTTAAAAAAAATATTGAACAAATAGGTACTAAAGCGAAAAAATATTATGTTTGACGTAAATCGTTTTTACACCCTCCACCATACATAGTATGGAGGGTATATTTAGTTCGTCACGCCGTTTGTAACTCATCGAAATAATAATAATTTTAGACATAACAAAGTATATATACAGGGTGTGATAAAAAACTGCAACAAAGTCAAACGCCATAATTTTTACTTTTTTTTAATTTTTTTTGAATGAGAGCAAAAAATGTCGGTATAAGTATGGCTTATAAAAAAAAGTTGCCTATGCAGGTCCACATATTCGCATAGGCCCTAATATAACGGCTATATTAGGTATTTTTAAGATTTTAACAGAATTTTTAACAATTTTTTTTTTTAATTTTTCAAATTCGTCCCAAATGGTGGAGGCCCTTTACTGCTTTTTAAACCCAACACCACACGGTAGTCAGGGTATTATGTCTTTGTGCATTTCTTTGTAACAGGCAAAAGGAAACGAGATAGACCCATAGTTCCTTTTGATGATCTGCATAGAATCACATTCTGAGTCGATTTATGTATGTCCGCCCGTCCGTCTGTCCATGTATTTTTGTGAACAAAGTACAGTTCGCATTTATTACCCGATCCAGATGAAATTTTGCACAAATCATTTGTTTGGCCCAAGGACGAATCCTATTGAAATTGGAGATAATCGGTAAAAATTTAGATATAGCTCCCATATATATCGTCGTCCGATTTGTCTTTTATTGTGCACCAAACGTGTAAAATCCGACCGAATAGTATGAAATTTTGCACATACAACCAAATTAGTCTTGAAAATGAGTATGCCAAATTTGATCGAAATCGGTTCAGATATAGCTATAGCTCCCATATATATTGTTCATCCGATTTGTTATTTTTGTCGTCCGCAGGCGTAATATGCACTCCGTAACAACGAAATTCAGGGAAATATATGAAATACAGCTCAGAAATACATTTGCTTAATTTTATCGAGATCGG